CCAAATGTCAGAGTTACTAGACCAAATAGTGGTTAAAAACTCCAGAGGAGGTAATTTAGTAATCTTATTCATAATGGGGTTGACATATTTTAGACATTCATTTTAAACACTACCTCAGTTAATATAGAATATAAAATCTGTGGTTTAATCCCTCAAAAGTTAACAGTAATTATTCTTTGTCCACACACACACATACACACACACACATGCACACAACTGTCCCCATCCTGGACCCCACTTCACTCAACCATCTTGAAATGAAGTCTCTGTTACTATTAGCCTGAACAGTTTGACTATTACTTTGAAAGACATGTATGTATACATTATAATAATTGCCTGTAGCACTTAGTTTGGAGAGACAAGAGTTTTGTGGTTATCAATAATCTAAGAAAAAATGTCTGTACTTAAATGCATAGTGCTATTTGGTTTATCCATATTTCACTGACAGGTCTAATACGTTTTCAAGTACTCATCTGTATAAAGGTAGACTTTTATGATGAAAAATGCTCACATGCAGTGCCAAGTGATTAACTTAGTGTTTAAAAATATTAAATTATAGCAGAAAAGATTAGGAATGGTGTCAGTGATAATAGAAATAATCGAGAAGATCATCTATAAATAATAGATACTACCAGACTATAAAATACCAAAATAATGTCAAATACTGTAGTTTTTCAAGATTTTAGAATTAATCTTAGTCCTATAAATTTGTACTATTGGTAATTATTGAACAATTTGGAGGAATTTGGGCAGTTGTGCTGGTTGTAAACTGTGAATATCTAATTGTAAAGTGAACTGTCATTTCTAATTGAAAATTTTTTTCAAGAACAGATTACAGCTTCACATACTAAGTAAATACTGATAAATAATAAGGAAATTAGAAATTAGTATTAATAATTAAATATGGTCTAAAATTTCTTATACTTTTATTTCCTATTTATGCCTAGGTAGATTTGAAGGGGGTAAGTCTCCCTAATAAAAATTTTTCTAATAAAGATTAGTAGCATAAGTACATTCTGTAAGACAGCGACATTAAAAGAGGCTCTTTGGAGGGATATACATTCTTATACTAGTTATTCTAACATCATGTGTACAAGGTCTTTTGAAATGGTAGCTTTTTTAGCTCTTTTATCCAGAGCTTGAGATAATTAAAGCTGAGTTTTTCAGGGCATATTAAAATGTTCAACAGTGAGGTGTCAATGCTTATTTAGATTTGTCTACTGCTCTTTATAATTTTTTTTTCATTCCATTCAGAGGATGCCTTTTATCCCCACATTAAAGCACAGATCATTGAGCAATAAAAACTAATCAAATTGTCATCCAAATTATAACTGCAATTGTTTTTGCATGGTAAGAGTGAGGTGCTAATTTTGTGTGAGATTAGCTTTGTAAAACTACCTTGGGAAAAAGTCCTTTGGAGTTAAGGTTTTCCCCCTTTTGTTTTATGCTTCCAGTGTTGTCTCAAATTCACAGTCCATTAAACTTGGGAAAAAAGAAAAGGTAGAGTTAACAGAGTTTTATGAGAAGAACTGATGAAATAAAAGAACATTTCAGGTTTTCCAAAATGTAAGTTGGGAAAGGCCTCCCTTGGCTCCCCATTCAGGAAATCCATTATCACAAGCTTAATTTCAAGAGTTTCACTACAGTGAGAGTGTCATTATAATAGCGTGCTAGTGAAATGGATAGCAGTGCTTATCAGACAATATTGAAATCTGTGAGAATCTTTCTAGGAACATTCTTTTTTCTTTAAGTTCCAGGTTCCCAAAGTATTTCTCATTCATAGTAGGTTTTTATGACTCACACAGGATGTGGCTCCCCCCGCACTGGAGTATTTTTATAATGTAGGTGGATAGCTATGCGACAGCATGCTTTAATTGCACATCTTGTTTTTCTTTACAAAATATTTAATTTGAAAAATATAATTTATGCCAAAAAGTATACTTTGTAATTTTGCCACTAAATAGGTTGATTTAGCACAAAATACAAAGACTTGGGTCAGAGCGGGGGAGAGATAAAAATTTTTCATAGATAATAGTTGAAAAATGCTCCATTACTGGCCTGACAGAAACCCTGAAGCTGCATTGTAAAACAAATGGTGTAAATTAGTTTTGAAAAGTGGTAAGGGATTGTGAAAAAAAATCTCAGACTTACTGCTCCCTAGCCACATGATATCCTTTTTTTATTTAGTAATAAGCTGCTACATATTTGGAGGTTCTGGTGTTTGTAGGTCACTGAACAGACATTGAAATCTGATTTATATTGTATAACTGTAACATAGAAAGAAAAGTATTTATATATTTTCCGTAAGAATATTTCATTGAGTTCTGTATAATTTAAAGAAGGTTTGTCCCCAAATGGTTTTGCTCACCTTGATTTTTTTTGTGTGTGTGGTTTTCTTGTTTTTGTATAATGTGTACAGTTTATGTCAAGGGCATTAAAAGCCTCCTGAAGCATAATCTTATTAAAGGGATACATTGTTAATAAAATGTACTTAAAATTCTTAAAACTTGTGTTGTTCTGTTTGAAATTTTAAACAATCAGTGTTGATTTAATTATGTACCATAGAGGCTGACACGTGTGACTCCCAGTAAAAATGATTTTTAGGTACCACAGATAAGAGTCTAGTTCAGTAATACATTAGTGGCTCATCCAGATGTTTTGAGATATCTACACTTTAAACATTCTTCATAATCTAATCAAACAAATAACTTTACAGGTTTTATTTTTAACTTGAAATCATTGTGGAGTGTTTGAAAAAATGGATCTATCTTTAGCCAGAATAGTTCTGAATTTTTTGAGGAAATAATATACAGTAAAGACGATGAGTTTGATGATGACGTTTCTGTGGAAGGTACTTGATTTCTCAGGCAGAAAACTATCCTGATCAGATGGGCTATCAGTACAGCCACCTAGTGGCAAAAGAAAATACCACAAGGGAAATTACCAAGGCTGGAAAATAAAATTCAGTGTCAAAGCCAGGTCAAAGCTAGTTTACAGTTTTCTAAATGTGGTAAAATATATGTCTCACTTTCAGAAATAGATTTGTTTGGATAGATTGGTCTTTAGGCACATTTCTGTATATCATTTTCCCATCGCCTTCTGTGTACGTTTGTTGGTCAACAAAAACAGAGTTGGCCCCAAAATAAACTAAAAGCAGACTTAATAATCATTAGACAGCTGATCTTTGGAAAGTGTGGACCTAAACTTCAGAAAGTTTGTTTCATTTGAAAAAACCCGATTCTCTGGTACCTAAAAGTTCTCAAAAATAAAGTATCGTCTTAGTCCATTCAGGCTGCTAGAACACCACCACAGCCTGGGTAGCTTACAAACAACAGAAATCTGTTTCTGCCATTCTGGAGGCTGGAAGTCTGAGGCCAGAGGGCTGGCACAGTTGAGGGAGGGCCCTCTTCCAGAGTGCTTGTTGTGTCCCTACATGACAGAAGGAATAGGAGCCTTGCAGGGTATCCTAAGAGCATTAATCCCAAGTACGTGAGGGCTCCAGCCCTGTGACCTAATTACCTTCCAAAGGCCCCATCTCCTAATACTATCATCTTTGGGGGCTAGGATTTCATCATATATTGAGGGGGACTGTCATTGAGATCATAGCATGATTTCAAAAAAAGCAAAATACTCTAAAACTTTGTCTCTTTAGTGCTTATCCTAGAGGATTAAGTCAACTGCATTTGCTTCGTACTTTAAATTGAATATATTTAGTTACTGTGTTGTAAATCTTTTAAGTACTAATTCTGAAGGGTTTTTCTCCTGTTGTATCTCTTCGGGGGTTTCTAAAGTTCTACTTAAGGGAAAATGTTAAATACGTTTTGTAGATTCTTTGAGATGAAAGCCAGTTTTCTTTCGACAGAGCTCTTAGGAGAAATACTAGTTGTCTAATTTAACTTGATTTTCTCAATAAATACACATTCTGGTGGAGAGTCCGTTTTGCTAGAATCAGCGGTGAGTCAGGTAGATGCTAGAATGTGAGCAAGCTCCTTTGGCAAGTGCGTGGTTCTGCTGTGTGGCTAAGTCCTTGCTCTGCGTGATCGCGGTACCCACGCAGCTGAGGACCACTCTCCAGGTTGATGTGATATTTATAGGTCATTAATGCCAGTCCTGCACACCATCAAAATACCTTGATATTTTTAAAGCGCTGTTACTAATTTGGCTTTAGGTACTTTGTTTTGTTTGCTTTTAAGTAGGCTCCATGCCCAGCGTGGAGCCCAAGGTGGGGCTTAAACTCATGACCCTGAGATTGAGACCTGACCTGAAATCAAGGGTTGGACATTTAGGTGACCCTAGGTAAAAAATTTTTTAAGGTATATTATGGTTATGTTAGGAAAAATAGGGCTTAGAGAAACAAATATTTGCAGGTGAAATTGTATGATTTGCTTCCAAATACTGTCAGGAGGGAGAGTGAAAAAGGACCTGGATGGGCTGAAACAGCCATGGGTTAGTAGCTGTTGGAGCTGATGATATACATAAGGGTTTGTTAAACTATTATACTTTTGTGTCATTTGAAATTTTCCAGGAGTATTTTTTTAATCCTGATTTTACTGACATGAATACAAATTTCAGAGTTTCTGAAGAACACTTCTTAAAGCAATGCTGTTAAGATGGCACATAGTATTGACATTAAGGTTTTAAATATGAATGTATTTGATGTGATGGGCACGGGTGAGGGATGTTTATAGCCAGAAGTGTAGTCACGGTGATATTGGAAGCATAAAGTTACATAGCCCAACATTTCCTGTTGGTGTGTTGCTATTATTTCAGAAAGACATGATTTGACTTAGGACAGTGCGTCTCAAAGTTGAGTGTGTGTCCAAATGCCTGGGAGGGAGCTGATGAAATATATAGACTTCAGGCCTCATACCATAGAGATTTCTGATGAGGAGGTGTGGAGTGGTACCCAGAAATGTACATTCTTAGTAAGCTCACAAGGTGATTTATTAACTACATTCACTGTTAGATTCTTATTTCATTGAGGTAGAGAAAATACAAAATGCAGTGGTGAACTATTTTAATTAAGACTTTTTGCGACAAAAATGACTTCAAGCTTTCATGGGTTATTTTTAAAGGAAAATCTATATGAAAGATAGTATTTACAAATCCGTCTTCACTGCCATTGACCTTTCTTTTGTAATTGTTCACCATGAGAAAGCAATAAAGAGGCTAAATGATGACAATACTGGCCCCCGAAGTCGTCTCGAAACTATCAGACTAATCGAGATAGTCGTTTGGACTGTGTTAGTAGTACATAATCAGCTTTTCCAACAAAAGGTTTAGTTCTACATAAGAAAAAAGTTGAAAAGCCTGAACAGAAGCCCTGGTTTGTGCTGGTATATTCAAGCCAGTTGGCAGTCCCCTCACTCGCAGATGCGGATCTTTTGCTCTCACTCTTGGTTGTGTCGTGTTGATGACACACTGCAGGGCATTTGGTGCCAGAGGTCTAGATGGTGTCATTTCCAGCACAGCAAACAAGGAACTCCTGATCAGGCTTGCTTAGAAATGTGATAAGTAAACAGGAAGCATTGATGGGTAGAAGGAAGAGAAAGGAACAGGCACATACCGAACACCTGTTAAGCATCTGGTGCATTTGTATATATTGATTCAAGGAGACAAAGCTGCTGCTGAGCGAATACAGAACTTCCCACTCTATATAGCTTTTTACAATTCTGTCGAAACCATGCCCAAAAATGACATTTCTGTTTATTCACTGTTAGCATAATAAGAATATAAATGAGACAGGGTGTTTTCCTGACCCAGACAATTGCAGGGACCAAAGGGTACTAAATGAAAACAGGTCTTTATATATAGTAGTTCTTTAAAAAAAAAAAAAAAAAAAAAAGAGGAACCATAAAGTGTGAATGGAATTAATAATAACATTTTTTTTCTATTCTGAGGTAGTTGTCAAAAATTATGGCCAAAGACTGATGTCTACCAAGTAGGAGTGCTGTTGTCTTGACACTAAGTTCCTTGCCAATCCCATTCTTTAACTGTAGTAAGCTAAATGGAAAGGCAGTTGTGGGGATCTTAGTTTATATTCACATTTCTTACCTTTCAGATAAGGTCTATGGGCCCAGAAGAGTTCATTTTACTGCCATCAATGAACTACAAATTGTTCTCACTTAAAGGCAAGTCTCAAATCTCGTTTTATTCTCAAACATCTGTGACTCTCTTAGTAAACACACCCAGAATAAATTAATCTGGGCATCCTATGGTCTAGTAACGAATCTTCTGTGGCCTTCGCTAAAACCTTAAATCTAGTTTCTTTACCCTTAAGATACTGGACATGGGGTAAAACTTAATGGAAATATTTCCTTTCTAAAAACTGAACTTCCAGAACCACAGCCACCCTGTCCAATACTGAGTGGGCAGGGTCTATCCCCGTGCCTAGTGCCAGGTCTGCTCTTCCAAAGGTGAGCCTGAAACACACAGCAGCAATGTAAGCCTATTCCCATGATCCCATTTCTACGGCAAGCCTGCTCCAAGGAGAGATGTTAAGTTCCATAGTTTCTGACCTTTGAAACCAAGCCAGACTCTAGTGGTCTCATGTGCCAACTGGGACTGCTCACTGGAAACAGGTGCCGAGGCATCGGGTGATGGAATGGTGCTGGCGATGCTCCTTTTTTGCGTCTATGTAGCATAAAGGCATGAAATGGGTATACTGATCAGTGGTAGTGTTCACCTTCATCTAAAAGGGTAATGGAAGAGAGGCTGCTACTCCCACTCGAGGGAGGAGAGGCAAGACCCAAGGGTATGGCCATCTGCATTTTATATTCTGAACAGAGTGCTGGCTCTGGTGGATTTGTGGGGAGATTGGACTTGTCTCCAGACGTGGGTGAAGCCAACTGGGACACATAATTTAGACTAGTTTCTCCAGCTGGAATTTCTCCCAGGGAGTTCATGTAGTTTTGTTCTAGTGCCTTTAGTAAATTTTCAGGTGATGTCAACAGTCCCAGCTGACTCGGTGGGGCATTAGGGGGTGCTGGGACATGGCCACAAGAAGCAGAGTCAGAAGCTGCCTGATTATAGGTAAAGTTCTCAAAACAGATGCAGGGTCCAGGGCTGGAGTATCTCTTCTCTGTTGGAAGGAGGTAAAGGTAGGTGGGCTTGGTAGACTCCGTTTCGGTGAGTGACTTCCTAGTGCCTTCCTGCTTGTTTAGAACTTCAATAGAGTCGGGAACACAGTCCTTGATATTCATTATTGTTAGGTGAGGATTCTCCTGGAACAAACAAACAACATGCGAATATGAAATGTGTGTGTGTAAGGGGCGCCTGGGTGGCTCAGTGGGTTAAGCCACTGCCTTCGGCTCGGGTCATGATCTCGGAGTCCTGGGATCGAGCCCCGCATGGGGCTCTCTGCTCAGCAGGGAGCCTGCTTCCTCCTCTCTCTGCCTGCCTCTCTGCCTGCTTGTGATCTCTCTGTCAAATAAATAAATAAAATCTTAAAAAAAAAAAAATGTGTGTATGTGTGTCCGAGTATATAAAGTATGTGAAATGCTAAAGTATGTGAAATGCAATTAGATCTTCAGTTCTGTGTGTGTGTTTCATCCTAGCCACAGGTTAACTGGAGGTGGTGTTGCAAACCAAAGGATTTTCCCAATGGAAGAAATCTCAAAGTTCCATTCACCCATTTCATGGCTACGGGAGCCAAGGTGGCTGTTGCTTTGTTATATCTTCCTGAGGAGGTCTAGAAAAGTATGACTACAGTCCCGACCCTAAATTGGTCTTTAGTAGATATATGGCACACATACAATTTCCCACCATTTACCTTGGATTTTATTAATGACAGAACACTGCTCTTGTAAGGATCTGGAATGTCCGGATAACACTTCTCCTTCATCCTAGAAAACAGTGAAAAATTGGACTGAATTTTACAATTAGTGACTAGTTAAGAGAACTCTGGAGGCAGATTCCTGGGTTCCAAACCTGGCTCTATCACTTAACTGTGTGACCTTGGGCAGGCTATGCTCACATCTACTCATTGATTCAGTGGAGGTAATTCTGTTCACGGTGGTGCGAGGACTGAATGAGCTGTGTGTAAAGCACTTAGAATATTGCCAAGTAGGTGTGCAGTACCAGTATTAACTATGTTATTGAACAGGCTCTGCAGTCTTTTCAGATAGCTATCGTCTTCCTTATGTATCGACCTGGAAAGCAAAAGTGTTTAAAAATTTTCATATTTTCATCTAAGTCTCTGTCCTTTGCTTTTTCAGCACCTTCTCTCATTATTTAATATGATTTTCAGCTTCTGAAACTCCTTTCTAGGTTTCTAAGATTTTTTTTTTCTCTGACTTCTTGGATAAAGTTCTTCCCCACACACTTACCACTGACTTTTCAAGTAGCATGTGATCATGATGAGCAAAATGCAGAGAACCATAGGGAGTATGATACGTATCAGTGTAGGGGCTGGAGAAGAAAACAAGAAAGTGGTGTTCTTAACAAGTACTTTTCCCTCCTCAAAGGAACAAAATTAAGTTAAAATTGAAATTAATTTCAGTTATTATTCTTCAAAAATCTATTTATGCAAGATTCAATGTGATTTCTGGCTGACGGGGTGGGAGTTCTATCCAACCAACCAACACAGGGAACATCTGCTGTCAGCACCTTGTGACTTGGATTCTTTCCCTCTTTTTTTTTTTTTTCCCCCAGATTTTTAAGTTTATTCATTTGAGAGAGCACAACCAAGAGCACAAGCAGGAGGGAGGGTCACAGGGCGAGAGAGAGTAAGAGCATGAGTCGGCGGGGAGGGGAAGAGGGAAAGGGAGAAGCAGGCTTCCTGCTGAGCCAGGAGCCTGATGTGGGCCTGGAACCCAGGACCCTGGCTGGGATCATGACCTGAGCTAAAAGCAGATGCTTAATGGGCTGAGCTACCCGGGTATCCCTCGTTTTCTCTTCTGACAAATTGGATCACTACTTCCAATTCTTCACTCCTTCCTCCTATTAGAATTATACTCCCTGCCTTTGCCAAAGCTTCCTGGTGGGTGGAGTGTACTTCTCTACCCCTCACTGGGGGCTCAGCAGCATGACTGTGTTTGGCCGATGGGCTGTTAGTAGTTGTAATCCTAGTACCTGCTTTAAGTGCCCCTGCACAGGAGTGCGGTTTGATTTGGGGATGGGATGCGGTGGATAATGTTGGCCTTCTGTCAGGGAGGGCAGGCCTGGGGAGATGCCCGACCCAGTGCGATGGGGCAGCACGGGGGCCTGGAGGCAAGGACAGTTCCTATCTGAAGGGAGCAGGACGCAAAGCAAGCCGCTAGCACCTGGCTCTCAGTTATGGCAGCGGGGAGGGGAAGGAAACCCTCCTCACGACCCCACTAGGGAACAGTTTGCTCTCAGATCCATACTTTTGACAACTATAATTGGTTTTAAGATTTAGTTACGTTATGGACTTAAAACTTATTTGAGAACAAGCCTGGGGGCCTAACCATGATAGCTTCCAAGTTTCAGGCCGTTTTGGCTAAACTTCTATTGAAATGGAATCCTTGCATTCAGAAAAGTGCTCACACAGTAAGCTCGAGGAATCTCACAGTCTGAAAATAGCCATGTGATCAGCATCCCGGTCAAGAGAAAGACCATGCTCGGCTCCCCAGAGAGCCCGCCTGGGGTCCGCATCCAACCAGGATCCCCTGCCAAGGTAACCACTATCTTGTCCGCTAAGAACACAAACGGCGTCTGCCTCTTTGTGTCACGACACCCTGCAGCAGGAGTCGGGTCTGGCTTCCACCGCGCCACGTGGCATGGCATTTGTGAGATTCGCCCCCGTTATTAGTGTGACCGCGGAGTGTCACTGTCATTGCTGCATAATTGCTTCTTCTTTAGTAATAACCGATATCATCAATAGAGAGTCGCAGCGAAGGCTAAGGGAGGCTTAGCATGAGTAAGGGAGATAAATGAAAGCTAGAAAATGTACTTGAGGGAAAGATAATTATTTGTGTTGTTTCTCTCTCTCTCTCTCTCTCTCTCGCACGCGCGTGCACACACACACACACACACATACACCTACCACCTAAATGGAATACCAAAGCTGGGATAAAAATAGCCTAGAAATAAATTTAAAATTTTAAAATTTACCCTCAAACAGCAAGAATGCTCAAATAATGGAAATCATTGACTGGAATCTTAATCCGACTCTGAGAGTTCTGACCTTTGCCTTGGAAACCTGAGGGCTGAGCAGCACGGAGGGCCCCAGCCTGCGGCAGAGTTGCAGGTGTCTTCAGCCCCGGACAGCGCACCCGGACAGCAGCTCTACCTGCCGCGGCCATCCTGTCTCTACAGCTCCGCTGCCGTCAAAGGGACCCTGCACGAGGCCCAAGGACCACGGGTCCCTGCAGGCAGTCTCTTCTGTCAGTCTGTTCCTCAGGGAGGAGTGTCTCCCACCATCCACTGTGGGATACCTGCTTCTCCCCTTCTTCCCACACCACCTTCCTGTTGGCCTGAGGTCTGCCTTTCCTGGCAACTGGGGCCTGCTGTTCTCCCCACCCTCTTCTTTCTCCTTCCAGAACAAATGCATTTTGGAAAAGCGGATCTCTTTATCCCACAACCCCACCCCCCCGTCAGCAAACACCAGGCTCCTGAGGGAACACTTCCAGCCGCTGCCCGATCTGTAGCCAACAACCACCCTACCTCTCTCAACTGCCCCCAGAAAGGCCAAGTCAGGAAGCAGCTGGTTCACGACTGAGGGAAACCAGCCAGAAGGCCGGCTGCAGAAAACACCCACCCTCCTCCAGACAGAAGGCCTGGAGCGCTTCCGAACTGGACACGAAACCATGCCTTGTGGGATTTTCAAACCATTTTGGGACTGAGTTCCAGAGACTGCCTCAGGGCCACCGAGACAGGCCAGAGGAAGGCTCCAGGTCTTGACAGTCAGACTGGCCCCACTGTTTTCTGGTTAATATAGTGGGGTTATGGACATTTTTTTCTGAAACAGAATCTCATCTAGAGAGCGAGAGACAGAAAATTTAAAAACTCCTAATCTCAACAAAGCCAATGTCCCTGTGCGTGTTATCTGTTAGCTTCCCAGCAACACCTAAGGGAAGAGTTGATTCAGGAAAACTCACAGTATTCATCAGGAGTTGTGACCTTTGCGAAAGCATCATGGGGGCCTTCGCCAACACTGGTGTACGGGGTGACCAAAAACTCATAGAAGGATTCCGGCTGTAGGTTTTCCACGACAAATGTCTTTTGTTCTGGGTTGTCAATTTTGTATTTGCAACACACTGCATCATCTGTAATTAAAAAAAAAAATCAGGAAAAATAATTATTAGAGATCTTGTGACAGGGCTGGGTACCAATACTCTTGTTGACTTGACACGGTCAGCATCCTAAACCAATCAAGAACTGAAGCATGAGTCCATCACTCTGGGTCACTGGTAAAATATTTAGGAGATGGCAAGCAAAGCAAAGGAGACAAGGGGTGCTGGCGATCCAGAAAGAGCACACGAATCTTCCAGACACAGTAAGAGCTTGAGACTTAAAAATACATTGTAATAACCTTTAACAAGGTCAAAGAAAAAAAAGAAAAGGGAGCAAGAAAGTTTCATAATTGGCAGGTTAAGGAGCTGATGGTACTCAAATGAGTCAAAAATACCAGGCACTTTGTTTTGAGTCAGTTACAATACTGACCCCTGCCCTCTTGCCCACTAATCTGTTGAAGAGCACCTTGGACCATAAACGCATGCAAGAAGAGGGTTCAGCCTGGCCACGGTCACACATGGCCACCTTCCTTTTTTTTTTTTTTTTTAATTATTAAAGTTTTTACTTATTCGACAAAGTATAAGCAAGGGAGAGGGAGAAGCAGGTTCCACGTTGAGCAGGGAGCCCGACGCAGGGCTCCATCCCAGGACCCTGGGATCATGACCTGAGCTGAAGGCAGACACTTGACTGACTGAGCCACCCAGGCACCCCTGGCCGCCTTTCAAATGGCCTTGCAGAGTGAGATCTTGAAAGAGTAAACAAACCAAAAATGTCACCTGAAAGAAGGGCCTTCTCAGATCCTGAGTGGCACCACCCCGCCTTGGATTTCAGGTAGACGTGGTACCCTTGTATAAAACTGGGTTGGGATTCAGTGGAGTAATTCTTCCAACTCAGAGTGAAGGAGTGGGAGGTCAGGTTAGTCATAACCACTTGAGGGTTGTCTGAAGGAGCTAGAAAAGGAAGCTGGGGTAAGAAAGTCATCACTGGAAATATTCTGCGAGCACACACATAAACTAAAAGTCGAGCCACAGCCAAGTCTGGAGGCTGTAGGCACTTCTGCCAAGTTCAGGGGTTTTCTCTCTTTCTCTAGGGGATTCATGCCTTGACACGGTTTGTGAGGGCTGGGAGGAGTTGAGCCATTTTCCTATCCAAACCTGGCCTTTCATGGGTGAAGAAAGGGACAGCCAGAGACACTCACCAGCTTGCACGAGGTCACACAGTAGGAAAGAGAATAAAGGGTTTCTTAGACTTCACTGTGCTCTTGAATTCTAAATAGCATTTGACAGAAGACCCTGCCAGAGAACGGGCTGACGGGGGCATTTGAGGAACTCTAGTCCCCGGGTGACAATGCCAAGCCATCCAAGTGTCACTGAAATACTCCAAGCGAGTGCTCATTCTGGAAGCCTCCTGGGCCTGCTTCCCACACACATCTGTGCACAGAGACACGTGCACCAGCAACACACCCGCACGGCGCGTCACAGACGGCTCCTACAAACGGAGCTGTGGGAGACGTGACCTGATGAGTGCAAGGCAGGGGAGGTCCTGGGTGCCCAGATTTCAGTGACATCAAATTGCTTTCCATTGCTGGTGGAATCACAGTGAAACTTCTAGGGGGTGATTTCGCAATATGTGTCAAAATTCTTGAAAATTGTAAAAGAAAAGAAACTAAAGTTAAGCCTTTGACTCAAGTATTCTAAGACTTCATTTAAAAACCATTATTGTAGATATGAATGAAAAGATATCGCTAAAATGATGGGGACTCAGAGGTCTTAAGAGACTGGGCTAGCGAGAAAAGGGACTGAGCACTGCATACGGAAAGACACCTGAAGATGAATTTTACAGTTTCTAGTTGAAAAACACTGTAATCATCCTACATGCCCACCAACGGGTGGTTTGACAAAAGCAAACAACTGAACACTTTGCAATGATGTAGTTAGAGAATACTGAGTGAGAGGAGTAAAAAAATTGCATGGAGTAAGATCCCATTTTTATTTAAAAATGTGTATCTGCACAGAGAAAGCAATACCTGGATATACATCAAATATTAACTGGATATTTGTGTTTGGGTGGTAAAATTAGCAATGAGTTTGTTTTCTTCTTTTGTATAATATTTTATAAATGGCCTTTAATGAAAATGGTTTATAGTTTATGATTCATAATATTGTTAAGACCGAATTACCAGAATAAATGACACTGAAAATTAGGAAAGGTGTTGAAATATTCCTAAACTCATGGCTGGGCTCTCTAGATGGTTCCGAACAAGTGAGCCCACGGACACATTACACGCTGTCAACTTACCCAGTTCCTGGGAGTATCCTGTTTTTCTCGCTAATAAATAGGGAACCCGTTCTGTAGAAATCCCATAAATTCTGAAGTTGTATCGAACCCCCGGTCTGAAAGCATCTAGAGAAGAAAGGTCAGCAGATCGTCAGTAACACAGAGTAACAGTCTCTTTATTTCTGAAAAGGAAGAGAATGAAAAATGACTTGGCTCCTAAATAATTTCCTCCTTAGAATTCCTGCACTTCATCTCCACCATCTTCCCCGTTTCCCTTGGCCTTGGAGTCCTCCACTGGGTCCGGCGAAGCGTGCAGGGCCTGTCCTCTACACCGTCCTCTCCAACAAGAGCTCTTCAACGCCCTCCAGTCCACGTGCATGAAATTCAATGCGGAAGGGGTGCGGAATTTAACCAGACACAGAAAACCATTTTAAAGTCTCTTGTGACTCCAAGTCCCCCCAGGAAGACTTGTCTTCTCTCGCCCCCGTGAAAGCTGAGCATCTGGAAGGCTTTGCCAGCACCTCCTCACTTTGCCCTCACACCTGCAGCTCTGCAGTCCACGTTCAACACCAGCCACGCCGCCGCCACCGCCGCCGCCGCCCTGCTCAAGCCCAGGGCAGCCTCACCTCCTCACTACCCAGCAGCAACTGAATGTCCTCCCTGGCCTCTGGCACGCTCTGGACGCTGACAAGTCCCACATCTGTATCTTGAGCCCAGCAGATGGCGCTGCTGACCCCACCACTGCAGCCATGAACCCAGGCTTCTTTGACTGCTAAACTGGCAATCTTGAAATTACAACTCCAATGTGGAAGGTAGGACGTCAAGTTCTACATTTTCCACTGAAAGTGAAGGAGTTGACGATTGATTCCTACAACTCTGTGTCCTTCCCCAAACCCTACATTTCTTTGCTTTTGTAAAAGCTCTCTAGAGAGGCAGGGTTATAATGTCCCTTTGCCATTCACTTGAGACCACTGATTTCGAGGCATAAGTTCATAAAAGTCATGAAAACCTATCCCAGCCTTAGGTCCAGATTATCTGTGTAAAAGTAGATTGAAGGCCAAATCTTAGGCTACCTCGTTGTAAAATCTGAGCTCTGAGCACCCATGCTGGATTTGTCATCTCAAAATGACTAGTTTAGCACCAACTAGCTGAGAGATGGTCCAGAGGTCCTAGTTGAACTTGCTGCGAGGCGGATGGAAAAAGATGGCAACATGCAGGGTTCTTCTTACCTGAGCTCACAACTGTGCTTGTGACATTGGGACCCAGGTTTTTCCACTGGAGATCACAGGGCGGGTCCTGGGGATGCTCACACCACTCCACAAGGTAGCCTGTGACGTGTCTGGGTTGGGGTTTCCAAGACAGAGGGAATCCATCCTCCATGCCTTTAACTCTTTCTTCTTCAACTTCTTCTACATTACAAATAGAGCCATGCTTCAGACAGAATTAATCATGTTTTTTTAAAAAAAAAAAAGTTTTTAAAGAAGAAAATCAAATTGAGCATACACTGTCTCTGACAGTGAAGAGCCCTGTCACTGTGGTGGCTACAGAAGCTTGGGGACAAGGTAATGTTTTCCTGCCTCTCACTTCCCAGCAAATATTCACTTCTGCCCTTTGGATGCCTCTTGTCCTAATCTTGAGACCCAACCAGACTTCAGTCCCTAAAACAAGGGTCAGCAGACTACTGCCAGCAGGACAAATCTAGCCTCCAGAGCCTGCTTTATGACCCTTGAGCTAAGCAGGGGTTTAAGATTTTTAACGGGGGCGCCTGGGTGGCTCAGTGGGTTAAGCAACTGCCTTTGGCTCAGGTCATGATCCTGGAGTCCCGGGATCGAGTCCCACATCGGGCTCCCTGCTCAGCGGGGCATCTGTTCTCCCTCTGACCTGTCCCCTCTCATCATGCTCTCTCTCATTTTCTCCCTCTCTCTCTCTCTAATAAATAAATAAATAAATAATATTTAAGAAAAGATTTTTAAGGAGTTGCAAAAAAACAAAGAATATAGGATATAGAACAGGGGCTGTATGTCCTGTGAAGTCTAAAATATTTACTATCTTTCCCTTTCCCCAACAAATTGCTGACACCATGTCTGGTGCTTAATACTTACAAAAAATCTCTGTTGGCCAAATGAGTAATGTGTCTTACTTCCCCCAAGTAATGCTGACTGCTCCTGGACGAACTACTACTTCTTTGATGTTGGGGTAGAAATTGAGTGAGAACGACAGAAGTAAACAAGTTCGGCTATGTACTAAGTTGGATTCTGCAGGGATGTGCACAGTCCTCATGATCAGGCTCTCATCTCAACCTATTTCATATGCCAGGGGAGTTTTCAACCGGAAACAAGTGACAGGATCTCAATGGACTCCCGGTTCTACTGATTTCAAGCAGAGTCACCTTGGGGGATGAGAATTTCTCCTATTTCCCCAGGCTGCCCTTATAGCCTACCACTGCTCATAGGGCAGGGGTCCCAGCTGGTCGCTCACGTGAGAGAAGACCCAGACCGAGGAGTGAGTGGGCCTGTAGGCAGCCGCTCAGAAAAGCAATCAATGAAGAGCAAATATTGCATGGTCCAGACTTAACTAGACATTTACTCATTACTCACCTACAACTTGAATTTAACTGGGCCTCCTGTATTTCCTTTGGCACTCCTAATTACAGCTGGACATTGGTGTGAAAGCACAGTGCTCTTAATTGTTCTAGACAATAACTAGGGGATACCCAAAGGAACATGTAGCTCTAGGTATAAGACAAAGGGTTCTCTGTGAAGGTCTTTGTATATACCACTTACATGGCTTTCTTGTCTTCTTCCATTAGAGAAATAAATCTCTCTCACATCAAAGCTGCCATTTTTCACTTGACTTATTCACACTGGCTAAAATTTCATCCCACACTCCGAACCATAACCATTATCAAGCTGCTTTTTGAAAATTCCAAGTATGTTTTGAGAAGCAGAGATAAAGGAGGGAAGGAGAAAGAAAATCTTTTCCTTCAATCATTCACACTCTAGTATGAATTGGTTTAATGTTAACAGTTGGCCTCATAGCGCATCAGTGACTTTATCTACTGTGGTGATTTAAGAATGTGGGCCACTTAAGGAAGGCTGGATAGAGACTCACAAGGGAAAGTATGAGGGGGGATCTGAGGGCTGGGTATGGGGAAGGAAGGTACAGTAGAAGGTCCCCAACAACCAAGTGCTCTGCAGTGTTGTTTGAACTGGGCCTCACACAAGGCTGTCTTTATCAGGTCCCCAGAGTGATTAAAATGCCCACTTTTCTTCATCTTGTCCTAAAGAAGATAGAATATAACTTTTCATTTTCTTCTATTATTATTACTAACTTTTTAAGTAACTCATTTTTTATTTAAATTCAGTTATTCAACATACGGTGTACTATTAGTTCACTTTCTTTTCTAATGCAGCTTTTGACAAGCAAAGATCATGTGAAGAAACTCTTAGTTTTCCTTCGGTGCCACAAACCGGATTTCTTTTTCTTCCTTGACACACTGGATAGTTCTAAAAACAAATAAGGCACCACCGTCCTCCGATCTAGCCTACGTAACCCAAAGGGAAGCCTAACCTGGACGACTAGTATAACCCAGCCTGCCGCAGCCTCTGGAGCCGGAGCTGGAAGGCGGCGCTGCAGGAAGCAAAGCCCGATCAGGGCAGGTGCAGGACCCAGTGCGGGATGCGGAGGACGGTCTGCCCGAGCATGCGCACTCGCACAGTGCGCTCCCGTGTACGAGCGCATGTGCGTGCAGGTGGCAAAGGGATAATGCGTCAAGCCTCTCCCCACGCTGTCCCAACCGGGTCATTCACGAGGCTACCGCCTGTACATGTAAGGTCATTTCCGCCTCGTCCGGTCTCTCACGGGCTACGAGACTAGCCAGTTACCATCTTTCATTCCGCAGCTTCTGCAAAGCCCTCTGGAAAGCTGATGCCAGTCAGTTCTCCTTCCATCACCTCTGGCCGCGCTCATGGGCTCTTTCCGGGTGACAGAGACTGACAAAATATTCTACAAGAAACGCGACCCATATTTCATCAGCTACAAAGCACGCTGACAGCGCTCAGGGGAGGCTGCTCGTTGGTGTTGCATATACTTGGGTAAACGTGAGGGAACTCTCTGAATTTGTTGAGGAATCCCAGGGCAGCCGCGCGCGGGGCTGCGGCGGCGCGGACATTCTTCCCGCATGCGGCAGGCCTGTCCCAGAGAGCCCGCAGCCGGCCTGAGCCCGAAAGAAAAGGACGGACAGTGTTTGGCAGCTAGACATTTTGTCTCCCTGAGCTATTTATTGCCTTTCCAATTGGCCCATTCCTGCTTCATTACATCACTGACGCTTTACCAGAGAATCAAAATGAGACAAAACAAAACTCACCGTTTCCAGGCTCTCGGGAGACTACGATGACCGAAGCAGGGGACGTGCCCACACTGTTATTAGCCGTGATGCGGATTTGGGATGAACACTGGCTCAGAGGTAGTTCTGTACCATTGGCCGGAGCGGGAATGGAGAGGAGCTCGGAGACGGATGTTCGGTCTAGATAGTCTACGACTATGTTATAGGACAGAATCTTCCCGTGGGCCTGCACTTTTGATAGTGGCTGAAAAAAATACGGATCACCGTTTCAAAATGGGCCTTCCTTTGAAAGGAATTTGCATAATTCCTTTTTTTTAATCTTTTCTGTCCCTCCATTGCCCCCCCACACACACCAGCAAATTAAAAAACAGTTTAATTGAGAAAATAACACTCTAAACCAAGCTTAAAATCAGGCATTCCACTCTAACTGAAGTTAAGTAGAAAAGGGGACCATTTGAGCTCCTCAAGAGCACAACGTGTCCAGAGAAGAGGGGCCAACGTGTCCAGAGAGGAAGGGCTTCTCTTCAGCCTGGATAAGAAAGGAGTCAGTGTGTGCTGAGGGGGGGGGGAAGACACGAGCAGATCCTGGCAGGAAGGGCCTGGCCTCTGGCCTCCCCTCTCCCTTCAGCCATCTTCTCCCTGCACAGTTGTGCCCTGAGCCATTCATGGAGCACATAGCCCCCTCCAGACCATCGTCCAGGTTCAAGAGAATTCCCTGCCCACACCGTCCCAAGCTCACTGCCAGGGCCTGTCCCTCTAGTCTGCCTTTTCAAGGGCAGACGGTGGCCCTGGTATGTACACCCCTAGCCCTGAAAATGGACTGTGAGCAGCTGTTTACCCAGGTGTGGCCAGAGCCTGGACACAGAGACTGCCCATGTGAGTGCCAGGCTCCCTGCATAGAGAGCCAGCCTGGAGGTGGGAAGGAGAGCAGGGGCAGGGGTGGGGGGGGGTAAGGGCATGGCTTGGAGCCAACTCTCCTAGGACTGTTGTGTTCCTTATGAAAACATGATCTGAGGGTCTGAGAGTTCTGAACACAAACCTGGGCTTCCAGGTTGCCAGGCTTTAATGGGCAAGGGAGAATGTCAAAATAGATTTTATTTTTTTCCCCCAAATATATTTACATTAAAGTTTTTCAGCTTGACGCATAACTCCTGTATGTAAATATTGTATTTAATATTTATAACGTTTAAATATGGTATACGCTTCTCCACTTACACTTATGCCTTGAGCCCTGCAAAAGTTAGAGGAGGTGGGAAGAGAAGTTTTAGAGGTTCAGGACTGGCCATCTGTAGAACAGGATGTCAAGGAGGAACAGTCCCAGCATTAGGGAAATGGGGGTGGGCGGGGACTCCTCCCCTGGGTAAGACGTTCTAGTTCTACTGGGCTCACATTAAGGTCCCCCCTTCCCTCAACAAAGATGGCACCAGTATCTGGTGTCACCCCGAAGACAGTGACAAGCAAACCTATCTTGTGAAATCTGTATGTCTTACCTTCCAGAATAGAGTCACAACACAACGTCCCTGCACTGTTTTCACATTTCTCCAGACATCAGGAGCCTCTGAGGGAGCTGAAAGGAACCAAAGGAAAGATCGTGTGTCCTGTTATATGTATACAGAACAATACAACCTGTTTCTAGTTCGGTCAGAAGAAGTGAGGACAGCCTGCCTACCTGAGGCTTGCTCCTCACTTTCTTCATTCTCTGTGACTTCTACCCGCTTGTCCACAGCCAACTGTTTACACCTCACTAAGTGCACATAGTAGGTGCTTCACAAAAGGTCTGCTGCATCAAACTGAAAGCTCTTATGAACATCAAGCCTAAGTTTCTCGAAGTCACCAGAAAATTTTGGAATCATTCATCAGTTAGACCAATTGTAGGAGGTTAGTTAGGTAAATTTCTCATTTGCTGAATTTCTAAGAGCAGCAGACCATTGCTACTTCCTTGCTTCATCTGCGAAGGTTGCAATGGAGGTGCCCTAATGGGGAGCCCTAGGGGCTGGTGGTTCTCTGATGCGTGTTCATGATTTCACAGCGGCTGGTCCTCTCAGTGGTCCTCTCGCCTGGCCTTGGCACCCCTCCTTGATCCCCACACTCCCTCCTCCCCACGCTTCTTTCTCTGCCAGCTCCCGGCCTGCCTGGGGAAGCTGCCTGCCAGCTGGACACTCAGGGCACCCGCTCACTCCCTTACTATACTGTTCTAGAAAAGTCTTTATTTATCACCAGCAAATTGTAGGACAATGATTTGTGATTTGATTCTAAACATCTCAGTGCAAGAAGAATTGTTTTGGAGCATAACACAAAGATTTAGCTGTTTTATAAAAATATAGTTTACTGTGCCTAATAATTGAAACTTAAATAAGTCCCTTTTTTAGTTGCTGACACTTTCTCAACTTAAAGATGACTGTGTATTTTTAAAGATGTATTAAGGCAGATTTTATTTTATTTTTATTTCTTTAAAAGATTTTATTTATTCATTTGAGAGAGAGAGGGAGAGGACAAGTAGGGGGAAAGGCAGAGGAAGAGGGAGAAGCAGACTCCTCGCTGAGCTGGGAGCCTGACCTGGGGCTGGATCCCAGGACCTGGAGACCATGACCTGAGCCAAAGGCAGACACTTAACCATCTGAGCCACCCAGGCGCCCTGAAGCAGATTTCATTTTGCTAAATAATCCCCTGGAGAAGCCAATACGCAAGCAAAAACTTACTAAAATACTCAGAAACGACACAGGACTCTAAGCTCAATGCAAAATCTTCAGCGGGCTGGTAAGTCAGTCTTTGTGAGAACAGCACCCGCAGCACAGCTGACAGTGCTCTGTTTGGGTCAATATAGTTTCTGCTGTATTTCTACTGGTGCCGTCTGCTCACTACGATTACACTGCAGCATGGTTCTACTACACATAAACATCGACCTTTCCAGCATCAAGCAAAGTGTTGTCAGAGGTTAAAAAAATGTAGATACAGATATAAATAGATAGATACATAACACACAGATTCACTACCAGTAGCTTCATCTCATTCTCTTGTTATTATCAAAAGCAAAATTTATTATTTTCAGATTTTTTGCACTAAAGAAATACAATTTACTAAAAACTCTACCCTTTTGCCACTGTCCTTTTATACTCAATTTTGGTTATAATGTTGGAATAAATTTGGAAGAAAAAAAAAAACCAAAGCAGAGCACTACCATTAAAGTAAAAATTCTTTAATCAAACACAGCTGAGGGGGATACCACATTACTGTCAGGAACAGGGCTTTTCTACAGCAGGGATTCTTGAGGAGTCTATGCCTCTAGAAAAAAATTACTGGAGTCCCCCAGGAGGGTGGGAGAGCGGGTTGGGAGGGGGAAGTGGTGGGAGGTGGGGCAGGAACACCAGACAAGGAGAGGAAGGCTGCTGAGGACCACCAGTGACCAACGCAAGTGTAGGCTTAGAAGAGCTGTCCTCGTCAGCCCTCAGCTCCAGTCACTACTTTAAAATGGTCCTCCTGTGGAGAAACAGAAAGAACCCCGCCAGCCTACACACACACACACATGCCTACACACACACACAGAGGAAAAGAAGTTGGGATCAAATAAATACATATACTCCTTCCTTTGGCAGTAAAAGAGCCAGGACTTGAATCGACAAGATCTGGAGGCTGTAATAACAGCATCAAGAGACCAAACACACAGAATTGAGTTCTAGGTGAGGGTAGAGCTCTGGAGTCAGAGGGCGGGGGTCTGGGTCACAGTCAACAGCTCTGTCACTCCCTGGTGAGGCCAATTAAATCACTGCTCCTCTGTGCACCTCGGGGCCCTCACCTACACAGCAAGAATGGTTACCCATCATGTCTCCTGCCTGGTATGAGGAATAGGAGAAAAACCCAGCAAGCGCTGGAGATCTGTGGGGCGCTCCGTAAGGGCCAGCTGCCCTAACTGTCACGATTGCTACATCTCAGTAACTCCACAAACCAGGAATCTACAGGCAGAATTTGCCTCCTCTGTCTCTGGGCAACAACGATGATTTGTCGTTTTGAGTGGGAAGGAGATGAAAGCAGGGCGGGGCCAGCTCATCTCTGGAGGCCCTATTGGAAGGCACCACAAGCCGTAGTTATCTGTCAGAAAGACTCGTGGTTCAGTCGGGGTGAGGAAAGTCCCACTGCAAGAATGATCGAGAAAACTCACAGCTCGCTGCTGCTGAATGAATGACGTGTCACTAAAAATTCAGTTTCCAAATATCATCACATTTCCACACATAGCCTGAAGTTGTTTGGTATGAGAACAAAGTGTTCCTTAGCATGGACACTACTGTTTGTCCTTAGCCCTTAATTTGAAAAGTCTACACTGACTTACATAGCTCCAGATCCAATGGGGACCCAGAAATACTAGCTTAGAAACCATTTCGCGGGCGCCTGGGTGGCTCCGTGGGTCAAAGCCTCTGCCTTCGGCTCAGGTCATAATCTCAGGGTCCTGGGATCGAGCCCCACATCGGGCTCTCTGCTCAGCGGGGAGCCTGCTTCCTCCTCTCTCTCTGCCTGCCTCTCTGCCTACTTGTGATCTCTGTCTGTCAAATAAATAAATAAAATCTTAAAAAAAAAAAAGAAACCATTTCGCAAAATCCAATGGGGACCCAGCTATACTAGCTTAGAAACCATTTCGCAAAATCAAAGACGAGAGAGAAAACGTATAAAAGAAAGAACACTGACTGACCCATGTTTGAGGTGGATGGCTTCCCACTCACACGCAGTTAAGCATTTAATCCGGTTCTTTTTAAAAAGAGTATTCAGCCTCTGTTGCAATATGTTCCCCTCAGGTCTGGGTACAGTCAAAAGCTCTGAGGGAAACCCTAACCCATCTCCCACGAGTCAGCTGAGATCCTTGAGTGACACTGCGGGGAGCTTAACATACCAGCTTCGGCTGTGGTGAAGTTCCGCTGTGTCCACTCACTCCATTTCCAGAAGTGGTTGCCGTTAGCACAGCGCACCTGGGCCACGTACTCCGTGTCCGGCTCCAGGCCACTGAAGAGGTGCGCACCATCCACCTTGACGGAAACGTTGTGCTGTTTCAAAGAAAGGAAGGGAGGAAAGAAGGAAGGAAAAGAAGAAACAGAATGAAAAGAAAAAAAGGAAACAAGAAGAAAGAAGCAGAAGAAGGAATAGAGGAGACAGGTGTAGTGGTGAGCATACTTCACTGCAAAGTCATATCATAGCATGGTTCAATCAGATTTGGGGTAAAACTACTTCTTTGGGAAAAGAAAATCTCTAAAGCCCTCTGCCCAACTCTAAAGTTTGTGATTAATTTCATGAACTTTTTTTTTTTTAAGATTTTATTTATTTGAAACAGAGAGAGAGATCACAAGTATGCAGAGAGGCAGGCATAGAGAGAGAGAGGAGAAAGCAGGCTCCCTGCTGAGCAGAGAGCCCGATGCGGGCCTCGATCCCAGGACCCTGAGATCATGACCTGAGCCGAAGGCAGAGGCTTAACCCACTGAGCCACCCAGGCGCCCAATTTCATGAACTTTTTAATTAAACAGATTACCCTTGCCATCTGAACCCACACAGGAATAAGATTTTATCTATTTATTTTTAAAGATCTTATTTATTTATTTGACACAGAGAGAGAGATCATAAGCAGGCAGAGAGGCAGGCAGAGAGAGAGAGGGGGAAGCAGGCTCCCTGCTGAGCAGAGAGCCCGATGCGGGGATCGATCCCAGGACCCTGAGACCATGACCTGGGCCTAAGGCAGAGGCTTAACCCACTGAGCCACCCAGGTGTCCCAAGATTATATTTTTAATTAATTAATGTATTAGTTTCAGAGGTAGAATTTAGTGCTTCATCAGTTGCATATAACACCCAGTGCTCATTATATCAAATGTCCTCCTTAATGCTCATCACCCAATTATCCCTCTCCGCACCCACCTCCCCCAGAAATAAGATTTTAAAGAGGTTTTATTCATAAGGCTCTCTGTTCAGAACATAAAGGGATTTTTGAAAATAGGAAATTCAGCAGCATTCTTACTTGTGTCACTTTTCCTTCCCCGTAGAGTTCAACTTGGCACAACAGTGTATAATACTTCCCAATGGAGTGTACCTTCCAGGTCATGGTGGCATTTGTGGCACTTACATTTTTAAATAATACATTGAAAGGAGCCATTGGGTGCACTGCCAAAAAAAAAAAAAAAAAAAAAAAAAAGAAAGAAAACAAAGTAAAAAAAAAAACTCAAGCATAAATCCAAAAAGACTTTGGTAAACAGCAGTTCATGTCTACATTTATTTATTCACTGGTATTTTTTTGTTGTTTGCTTTTGAAAAAATAGCAAACAAAACCAGACTTACAGCCAAGATGGAGTAAGCCAACTACAGCCTTTCTCTCTCATCAATTATATTAGAAATTCTGAACAAAACATTAGAAGAAATTACCTAGGACTCCTAAAATTAAGCAGGCAGATTGTGAAAGAGGATCAAAACTTGGAGAAGTGGCTCATTGGGAGAGTATAACAGAACCCAGAGTCTAAACAAAATAACATCAACAATGTCAAAGATACAATTCATACGTATTCTACATACAAAAACAGAATATGTCACCAATTTCCAAAGGAAAAGATAATCAACAGATGCCAACCTTAAGATGGCCCACATGGCTACAATTATTACAGACTTTAAGAGAGACCTATGTCATAACAGTAAACAAGTTTGAAATGAATAGAGGAAAACGCTTCTTAGCAGAAAAATATAAACTTTTTTAAAAAAATCAAATGGGAATTCAGAACTAAAAAATATAATATCTGAAATGAAAAATGGACTGGATAAGGCTCAGGTTTTAAAAAGACAAAGTAAGCACCTCCCATCCTGTCTCTTCCTGAATCCAGTCAAAACAGTGCATGGAGCATTCTCAAATATTCTATTTGAGAACTCTTAAAGGTAGACAGCAACAGGCAGATTGGAGAAGACTAGAATGTGAAATATCACTGTGCCGGTAGTGGGGGGTAAAGGAAGACATGGGTTGTAAAGCTTCTATATTTTACGTAAAGTGGAAAATATTAACTCTAAGAAAACTGTGAAATATTAGTAACATAATCTCCAGAGGGAAAAAACAGAAATACAAAGAGATGTAGGAGAAAGTGAGTAGACAAAGTGAAGTGGAATACTAAAAAAAATATTCAAATAATCCCAAAGGGGGCAGGCTGGGAAGAGTAGAGGAACAAAAAAAAACAGAGGGAACAAATAGAAAATAAATAATAAAATGCCAGATTGAGTCCAACCATATTAATAATTATGTCAAATATAAATATTCCAAACATACTGATTAAAAGGCAAATTATCAGGTGGGAGAGAAATTGAAACCAGTCATGGACCTGCCTTCAAAGTGCAACAGGGAAGCAAACATGAATCAATAACCACAAAACCAAATGTGACATTGAAAGTGGGGTGACCACAGTGAAAGTGTTAAAGGCCTTTTGACTTAAAAGATGGAGTTCTAGAAGCCCCTATCCTGAGCCTTTGTCTTTATCTCATTATCCACAGGCTCATGACTCACAATTCTAATTCGCCATCCCAGACTTCTGCTATGCTTTCCAAATTATATCCAGCTGCCTCCTCAATACATCCATGTCTAAAAGACACCTCAAACTCAACAAGACAAAGACAAAACTCTACCCTCCTGCTCAGAGTTGCTCCTCTACAGTACCCTCCCCATTTCAGGAAATAGTTCCAGTATTAGCTCAGTTGTTTAGGCCAAAACCCTAGGAATCATCTTAAATTCCTCTTCCCCTGCCTTCCCTAAGTAAGTCCTACCAACTCAATCCCAAAGTAAATTCAGAATATGACCACATCCCACCAACTTCATCATGCCACCTGGTGCAAAGACTCTGCCTGATGACTGCAAAAGCCTCCCATCCAGCTCCTTTCTCCGCCCTCACCTCTGACAGCCCCACCTGCATGAACTTTTCTTACAGTGTAAGTCACTGACCTGTCCTGATGGACACCTTCTAATACAGCTGGTAAGACTACCCCATTCATCCCATAGTCACTGCGTAACCAGGACACTCCGATCTCCTCTCTCTCATAGTATGGGCACAAGAACATTCTTTCTGTCTCTCAAACAACCCAGAGCTTGTTCCCATCCTATGACCTTCTCAAATCCTATTCTTTTTGCTTCTAATGCTCTTTCCCTAGATGTTTTCTGTTTCTGTCTCATTCTTTGGCGGCCTCATCCTAACTGAAGTGGCATCAGGCATTCTCTACTGCATGACCTGAGCTGACGTTCTCCACAGTGTGTAGCGATACTCAAAATACTGTATGTGTCCACTCCCCACTCTCATCCCCTCCCCCAACGCACTCTCACACCCAAGTTCACATGCGGCAGTCACCTTGTTTTGTTCACTGCCAAGTCCCCAGTGCCAGCTATACTAGAGGCACTCTGTCATTATCTGGCTGACTGGTGATTAAGCTAAAATCTAGAAGATATGGAGGAATTAAGAAAGTAAAAAGTAAGGGATGAGCATTCTAGAAAAAAGGAACACAGGTGAAGATTCTGCATTTCATAAGAGAGAAAACATGTGGTCAAAACATAGGAAGAGATTCCCAACCTTCAGGATCTGTACTCAAAACCATGACAGACACCAGGGTATGTATACCCAGGAAACTGACACAATGGAAAGGGCAACCACCCCAGTGTGGAGAGGCTGTATGAGTTCAAGGGCCAGGGTATGACCAGGGCAGCCCCTTTGGAAAACCACTTGGCTTTGTATCTGAAGTTGCTCATTCACATTCTCTATGTCCTCACCGATTCCACTTTGGGGTATACACTCAAGAAAACAAAAGGAGGGAGCACCTGGGTGGCTCAGTGGGTTAAGCCTCTGCCTTCGGCTCAAGTCATGATCTCAGGGTCCTGGGATCGAGCTCTCTGCTCATCGGGGAGCCTGCTTCCTCCTCTCTCTCTCTCTATCTGCCCATCTCTCTGCCTACTTATAATCTCTGTCTGTCAAATAAATAAAAAATAATTTAAAGAAAACAAAAGGAGGCCAGTCCTACATCCATAATGCTCATAGTAGCACCATCCTTGAGAATAAAAACCTTGATACAACCTGAAAAACCATTAGAGGACATGCCTGACCAAAATACCATAGATTTATGCAATGAAATACTTCACGGCAGTGAATACCAACAGACTATAACACTATAACACAATAATACGGGTCAATATCAGTAATTTACTATCACACAAGCAGTAATTACTAAATTATCACATGTGGCTTGATGCCTTTTATATTTATATATACATCATATTTATTTATATATTTATATTTATATATACATTAAAACCAATCAAAATAAAAACATAACATTTTTAGGACATTAGAAATGAGAATACATACACCTATACAAACATAGACACATTCGAGATTTAAATCTGTACTTATCTTGGCGGAAGGAGCCGGGTGGGGGGCTGGGGGATGGGAGAGGCAGTGAGTTCCCGTCAGAGTTCTAGTCTGAAAGTGAGTAGTAAGCATGCACGTGCCTATTACATTATCAAAACAAATAACCAGGGACTGTGGGCCATGCATGCTTCCATGAAGAGAAGTGTGGTTTCAACAAGAGTTATAAATGAAAACTTTTTTTTAAAAAGACTTATTTATTTGAGAGAGGTGGAGAGAGAGAGAGAGAGAGCACATGCGTGCATGAGCAGGGGAGGGGAAGGGGCAGAGGGAGAGGGAGAAGCAGACTCTCTGCTGAGCACAGAGCCTGATGCAGGGCTCAATCCTGGGACCCCTGGATCATAACCTAAGCTGAAGGCAGACACTTAACTGACTGAGCCACCCAGGTGCCCCTAAATTAAAAATTTCACTTAGGATGTGAATTAGGCAAAAATCAACAACATTTCCTTGATCACAGAGCGTGTCACACAACGCCATAGCGGGTTCTGATACTGGTCTCACCTCGATGAGTCAGGTTAAAAAGAAGGTGAACACTTCTCTTTCGTAAGTAGTTTTCAGCTGTGAGTGTGAAGTTATACATGTCTTGGGACTCTGGAGCCACTTGCCAAAGACACCAGCTTTTGTGTTTACAAAGGGTCTTTTTCCCGGAAAATCTTAAAAAAAACACACACACACACACACAAAACGACAATTTCAGGGTTTACACTTTTGTCAACACAGAGATATATCCCTACACTCAGGGCACACTCAGTGGCCTTCAAATTATGTTCCACATGACAGTGTCGATCTCCCGCCATCAACAAATGTCAAAAGTGAAAACGTTTCAACAAATTCGACTTCTGTGGTGAAATGTGTAATGACCATGAACCACTGACCGCCCCCCTCCACCAACATGGAGGATGAGACGACTCCTTAATGTATTTTAAATATTCTTAAAAAGTTAGAAATTAGGTAGACCCAGAACACCAGATGGAACTATGTTCACATCAAGATTCACCACTAACAGGTTTTCTTATCATTTCTATGTGACAGTTTCCTTTCTCGAAACTCAGGTGGAAAGTATCACACACCACTGAAGGCTTCTTCCTCACTCTGGCAGGATGGTTGTAAACTATCTGTTCACATTTTCCTCAACATCTGAACGTGGCTCTTGTTGCTGTCACAAGCGCCTTAAACAAGGAGGACTCTTGTCAAGAATGCCATGGGAGATAACTTACGATTCAAATAAAGTGTAGCTCTGGGAAAGCTGTTTGAGCAAGCCGGTGTCACTCCCCGGATCCCAAGTACAGTTCAATGTCGTGAGGTCCTGGGTTTCACAAGAAAAGTCCTTGGGCTCCTCGAGGACTTCTGTCCGTACAAAGGAAAAAACAGATGAAAGGCCTAGTTAAATCCCTTTCATGAAAGACAAGGAAAACGGAGAGGTCCTTTTGGGTCTCAGGCCACAGAATCACTCTGAATGATAAAAGCATCACACCCCACCCGCACCTCTAGAAAGTCACAGTTCAGGCACCTCATCTGGGCCCCTTCTCCCTTCCCTTGTTCTTCTTTGAGGCATCACCGGGGACCAGTGGTGGGAGTTGTGCCGGGATCTGCAGGCCCCCAGGGCCTGCTAGGAGGCTCTCAACACCTACCACTGACTGTCAGACAGCTGGAGTGAGCGGAAGAATGAATGAATGAATGAATGAATGAATGAATGAATGAATGAATGAAGTCAGTGTTGCCTCCCCTGGAAGCTGGGGCTCGCAGATAGCCTTGGGGCTGTTAGGCTTGGGATGCCAGCAAGTCCGATTTGGAGGACTGCTAAGCTGGACAGCAGGGCGCTGAGAGTTCCAAGGTCAAATGCAGTACCTCCAAGTCGTCCCCTCCTCCCCTCCTCCCCCGGGGCCCCTCCACATCCCTGCAGCTCTCAGAAGCCTGGCCCTGGGAGACAGTGGAGGTGGGTGCCCGGGAGCCTGGAGCACGCCTTGGGCCCGAGAAGCAGGAGGGAGCAGGCTCAGATTTTGTCCCACCGCCAGTGCAGGGAAGGGAGGTCTCCTGACCAAATGCAGGAGGCCCCTGGGCACGTGCACACAGACCTCTGTGAAATGCACAGTGCTCCCCCTTCCCTGTTGCCAGCCACGGAGGCACCTGACGTTTTCCACACCCACTTCAGAGCGGGTTCCTCTGGATTCCTCGGCTACAGCGTTGGGAGCCAGGCCTGTCTGTGTTCATTCACCCTCAAACAACCAGTCCTGGGCTCACTTCACAGAGAGGGAAACTGGCTCAGAGAGGTGGGGAAACTTGGCCAAGGTGGCACACCCAGGCACAGGAAGATGATTTGAACCCAGGTCTTCTGGGTGCAACACTGGCTGCCTCCCTGGAGTCGGTGCCCTGCCATCTCTCCCACTCCACCCCCCGGTCCCCCGCCATGTTGCAGTCCTGCCGCATGGCTGAGGCAGGCAGGGCCCTTCCCGGTGGTCCAGGAAATGGCCCGAACTTTCTCCCCTTGAATAATCTTGGTCTCTAGGAATAAAACCGTCAATAAGGCCACGATAACAACAGGAAACCCTTCAAGATCTTTTTCAGAATCTCTCCTAGAAGACTGGGGAGACAAAAGAACATCCAGACCGCGGGTGAAAATGTTTACTTGCCTTCTGGGAAAGGAAATTCCATCTATTCTAGGAAACAGGAAAGAAGAGCACAGAGCATGTACACACTTACTTGACACAAAGAGAACGGTGCCCTTTATCCCGTCTCCTTGGCCCGGCTTACAATAGATATTTGTCCCGGTTTCCCTAATGAAAGCAACATGATTCAAGTTGAACACGGACACATTTGGATTGAGCTGTTCTCCCTGCATCCGTACGCCTTCCAAATAACAGGATATGTTATTCTGATGGCTTTTGGAAACGTAACAAATGGTGACATTGGAGCCTTCTTCCACGAGCTTATCTTTAGGGAAAACGAACAGCGGGTCCTGTCCAAGAGAATTCTGTACTGCAAGAGAAAAAAAGGCCGATCGGTTAGAACATCACTCAAGTTTCAAACCAGCCCCTCTGGTTTGAAACAAACAACGACAGCTTTAGCCTCTTCTACCTGCTGGGGAAAAGCCGAGCCTAAACCTCTGGGCAAACCTAGAAAAGTTCAGGGCTGCGCAAACACTCCTTCTTACAAGGGCTCCTACTGTTAGGCAAAATGTTGCTGACGTTCCTACTGCAAAGACAGTGCATCCCTCGGCCCTGGGATCAGGTGTCCCTGCCAGCTTTGCTTGTGACAGCCACGGCTGCCCTCTACGGGCCACAGCCCCGAGGGAGGTTCTGCATTAGGTGGGACGGAGGATATCTCTTACCACCAGCACAGGTAGGATCCACGGAGCCCAAGTTCACTCACCCAGCAGGTGGCAAGACCACATTCACATCTGCCAGGCCTGCCCATCTCCATAGCCACATGTCTCCCCCATACCCCCTTTTTATGGTTTTATGTATTTGTTTTAGAGAAATTAAGCAAGAAAAAGAACGTGAGCAGGAGGGACAAAAGGAGAGGGAGAGAGATAATCCCAAGCAGACTCTATGCTGAGTGCAGAGCCCCACACGGGACTCGATCCCACAACCCTGAGATCATGATCTGAGCTGAAATCAAGCTTCGGACGCTCAACTGACTGAGCCAGCCAGGCGCCCCCACGTATCCCTCTTAATCTCTATCTACACTGTACTACTGACCACATCTCTGCCCACCTTCTCGGAAATGCCGGTCACTCAAATAGCTCCTTTTCCACCATCTCTCCTTCTGTACGACCATCAGTGTGTGAAAATCCTCAGGTGTCTCCCATTTCAAGCCAACTCGCCACCCTCCCCATGCCTCCTTCCCGCCCCCTCAGCCCCGCTCCCCCCGTCGCAACCCCCAAAGGGGCTGCCTGCTCTGACTGCTTGGCTCCGTGGCTCCCACTCAGTCAGCCCACCATAGCCACGGAAACCGCCACCACTGACCTCACCCTGCTGTGTGGCCTGTGCAGGGGAGCTTTTTTAAAGGTTCCAGGCGAGTCTCATGGGCAACCACGGCTGAGAACCAGTGTTTGGGGGCTAGAATACACAGTCAGGTTTTTCATTCATCCTTGACTTAGACCAGAAGTTACAGCTTTGAGAAATCTAGCCCATTTTATCAAAGCTGTTTATAATGTTGTCCTGTCTCTTACTATCTTTTCAGTCTGTTTTTTTTCTGTGTCCATCTGTCAGCAGTAGGATGTAATGTGAACGGGGGTGGGGTGGGAGGGTGGGCTCTGGAGCTAGGTTGGTCTGGGCTGGAATTCCAACTCTACCACTTACGGGCTTGATGACCTCACATGGGCTCTTTAAGCTAATTGTGACCAGTTTCCTCATCTGTGAAGTGGGGATAAGAACAATACATATTCCAAAGGGCTGATTTGAGGGCTAAATTAATATGGAGAGTGCTCAGAACATGACTAAAATGCAGATTTAATTCTATTAGCAGTATTAAACTAATAATGAGGCTACTTATGGGTTAATGTTTGCTATCAGTTTGACTTTAATAGATTTGTATAAACACTTAACAAAGGAATGGTTCTATGGGCAGGAATTCCAGATTATCTGGCAAATGGTATACGTTGAGAGAGCCAAATGGCATTGCTTTAGAACCAGCTTATAGTTTAAATGAAGCATAATAAGCTGTGGTAAAATCCACTCTAGATTTTAATGATAACAAAATTAAATTATCAAAATTAGGAGATACATACAACATATTTCTCCATAACCTCATTATTCAAATGAAGACTTGATTTCATTGTTTCCATATTTCACTGCTTCTCTCTACCTTACGGGTTGGCAGGCTAGGGCCCATGGACCAATTCTAGCTTGCCATCTGTTTTTGTAAATAAAGTTTCATTAGAAAACAACAATTCTCATTTGTTTACATATTGCTTAAGATGGATTTCCCATTACAATTACATGTCTCAGAGTCATGGCTGAGACCAATAGGGTCTGTACAGCCTAAAATAGTTCCTATCTTGCCCTTTACACAAAAGCTTCCTAACCTCTGCTCTAGGTGCAGACACATTTTGTCTTCTAATAAAAGCATATGTACAATTTATGTCCTGCTTTGTTCTCTTAGTAGTTGTAGTAAACACGGGTCCCACGTTTGGAAAATAAATACGAAATTGTCTGAACTTGCGTAATTATCGCTGAGAATAAATTGTGAGGCAAAACCGTAGAGGTCTATCTCCTGGTGGCACGGTTCATACCCGCACTTCTTCATTCCAAGGGAAGACAAAGAAAAATAATGTTGGTTTCTACTCGGTCTCCTCAAAAGAGACTTCTACTATTTGGCTATTGATTCCTAAGTAATATTAAATATTCGAGCTTTTAATTCTTTTACCACCTCCCTTCTTACCATCTGCTTCCTCCCACGAACTCCAGCCGCTCCAGACCCTTGGCCCGGGGGTCTTGGCAGTATCTACCGCACTCCTCATTCTTATAAAATGTTTCGCACATTCCAAGGGGAGCTTGGATTCCCAGCTCCAGTGCAGAACCTGGTTCCACTTCACAGTGGTGGTGTAGTTCTCCTAGAAAGAAAGGGAAAAATTTGGAAACGTGGATCCATGCTGTCCCGGAAAATGGCCTGATTAGAGTTACCCCCAAGCACGCAGCCAGGAGCTCAGTGCAGCTCCCAGATACACGCAAGAGTGGTCCATCCCTAAGCAGCCCGCTCCCCCACTCCGACGTCACAGCAGAACCTGTCACAGCCTCCTGCCTTTTGAGAGCTCATCTCCCACCCCCAATGGCTCTCTGATTCCAGGGGGCTCATGGGGCACAAGTGAAAGAAAGCTGAACGTACTCAAGTCTTGGGGGGAGAGGTCAGAGTTAGAAGGTTGGCACGGGACTCGTCGCACAGAGGCTGCTAAGAAAATTTTTGCAAACTAGAGAACTAATTGAGTCATTCTTTAAAAATAAGCAAGACCGAGGAGTATTTTCTTAATAATTTTTTTTAGCCACGGCCAGATCAAGTTGGCCAAATCTCTGTAGAGAGGGCAGGCCTTCATGGTACCCAGGAGTACTGACGGCTCTCCAAAGCCAGTAGGAGGCTCTCGTGAGGCCTTTGGGCTTTTTTTGTCTGTTTTCTGTTTTGTTTCATTTGTCTACTTGTCTTTGCAGATATGGTGGCCAAGGGGCCATGTCCTCTTCTCTGAGCTCTGCCCGTTAGAATCTTCAGTCCCCAGGGAGGTCAAGCACACAAGATGTCTTACACTGTGCTCTTGGGAAGCTTGTTCAAGTTGAACTGCAACTGCTTTCCCACGTAGTCTTTTTTTTTTTTTTAAGATTTATTTATTTACTTTAGAGACAGTGTGCGTGAGTGGGGGAAGGGCAGATGGAGAAAGAGTATCTTTAGCAGGCTCCACGCTCAGTGTGGAGCCCGATGTGGGGCTCGATCTCACGACCTGAGATCATGACCGAAGCCTAAATCAAGAATCCGATGCTTAACCACCTGAGCCACCCAGGTGCCCCTCCACACAGCCTTTCATCTTGATCTTTCTAGAATTCTGGTGTCTTCTTTCTCTCATTCAATGGGCTTCAATGGTTCCTTTACACCTTACCCTCTCAGCCATCTACATGCTGATTCCAACCTGCCTCTCCCTCACAGGGACCTCCTCTCTGGACACAGTGGTCTACCTTGCACTTGGGGAATAGCTTTGTACTTTTACACCTCAGTGTCTGCTCAACCAGCGTCCCTGGTTTAGGGTCCCCATGCCCCCTCTGCACTGGAAATTAGTCTAGGCTACACCCACCCCTACCCCCCCCCCCAGAAGCCTTCCTGCACACTGGGTATAGTCACTGGCATTTCATCTGTGGTTGGGTTGTGTCCCTGGCTGGAGCATGGCCCCAAGAGAACGGACACAGGGTTTTATTCTTCTTCCCGTCCCGCAAGGCTCCGGGCACTCAAGCTCCCCAGTGGGCCCCTCCAGGACACTTGCTTTCTGCCCCCACCGCTGGATGATGGGAACATCAAATGCTTGCACTTCCTGGGGAAAACTGAGTCTGCAGCCCCATTTCTAAAGGCCAATCGAAAACCCTATAGTCATGAGGATGGGGGTGACGTGCGTGTCACACACAGCCAGAGCTGACAGACTCTGAGGTCTTCCCTCCACTTTCTCCTTCCCCCCTTTCCAGGCTTCTGGGCTGCAGCGGAGCCTGGGCCGAAGCTGGTGCAGCCCTCGGGGGAGAGCACCTCCGCCCACCTCGCAGTGCACAGCCCTCACCCTCCATGTGGGACACTAAGTTACAAAATGTTTCTCTTTTGGTTTATCGTGTTGCTTTACTCCTAAACTACAAAATACACGTTTTAAATACAAGATTTGAGGTCCTGATCACAACTTTTCCTATTTAATACAAGCAATCTTGAGTCCATTTTGATTAAATCTTGTTTAAGAGCAAATACCAAAAAACCAACCCAGAAACTGTATCAATAATGGCGACCTTGCTGTCCACAAGCCACAGTCTGGGTTTTTCCTCCTGCATCCCTTTGGAATTAAGCCACTTTTGTCATCATCCCAGACTGTCACCGGTCACTCCAGGCACCTCTCCCCTGGGCCCACTGCACAGCCCCCTTCATACGGGTAGTGCTTTGGCTTCTCCAACTGCCCCACCTGTTCTCTGCCGTGAGCCAGAGCAGACATGTCAAACACTTCCAGCCAGATCCCCTCACTCCTCTTCTTTTCGTGGCTCTCAGGATAAAACAGGAAAACTGAGCACGACCTCCAGTGTCCTGTGTGGTCCACCCGGGGCCACGCCTGCCCCTCTGTGTTCCAAGCTTTCAGGCCTGGGAGCTCACAGCCCTCCCCTCAGGGCCTCAGCTCACACCTGTGGGCTCTTCCCAGAATATTCTTTTCCACCCTCCCTTCTAAATTAGCTTCTAATCCTCTTCCTTATTTTGGTTCAAAAAGTCCTTCTTTCAAGTTGCTGGAGAAGGTCAGGCCTTGTCACAACCCCACAGCACCTTGTCAGCCGCCAGCACTGCACGTCCCACATTTAGGACACTCTGGTCTATGTGTTTTTTCTCCTCATTCCTGCTCAGCCCCGACAGACCTACGCCTTGAATAATGGCTGGATCCCGGCTCCCAGTCTCCCAACCATGCGCCCAGTGACTGCATCATTAACAGGCAGTGTGGACTCTGTTTTCCTCAGACGCTACTTGTGCGGATTCTGTCTAACCACAAACTTGTGCTTTGTGCTGCTCACAGCCTTGTCATGGAGGAGATAAAACTTTCCTTGAATGCATCAATTCAGTGATTTTTTTTTTTAATGTGATGAATTGTGCTGGGGCTGTTTTCATTCACTGAAGTGGCAAGTTTAATTTGGCAGACACTAGTAAATCGCAAGAAGTTGGCACATTCATCTCTCCAGGAGTCCAATTGAGGTCACAGACTCGTTCCTGAGGCAAGCGCAGATCCCTGGCAGACTCAGCCCCCGGCCTCCTTCTGGGCCTGTGCTAGGACTCCACACCGCCTTCCCTGGCCACTGACCCAACCAGAAGGCCAGCGGCCGGACAGGCCGAGGGCAGGAGCAGGCCCAGGGGAGGCCGTGTGGTGCGGGCAGGCAGCTGGCTGCCAGCAGGCCTCTGCGTGGCCCGCACCATCCGGGAGGCAGCCCAGGGTCCCCAGCCCGGCTGCAAGCACTTGGACCAGGACGGTCCTCCTTGGCTTGGTTAGGCACACGACCGCCGGAGGCAGGAGTCCTGAAAGCTGTCCTTTCTCCGCATGCAGGAAAGCGAGCTGCCAGCCTTGCCTTACGAGGAACCACCTTACGAAAAAGGAGACGGCGCTCTTTTCAGAAGCAGTTCCCTCGGCTGGCTTTCTTCCCCTCAGCTGCAGGGGGATCTCATGTCTCTCCTTGACTTTAGGTCTGGAAGGGTCAGACAAAGGCTTGTTGTGGTATTGTCTGTTCTGGGAGGTATGGTATTGGTATGTGGTATTGTCTGTTCTGGCCACTGATTACCTGGGGCGTGCCCGTGGCTGTCACCCCTGTCTGGGCATGTGGCTGAAGGAGGATACCGTCCTGGCTCGGGGAGCTGCCTGGCACAACACACCACTCTCCTCTCCCCTGTTGGGCTGAGCTGAGTGATAATGGGGACCAGATATTGGACGAGGCAGAACTCTGGTCGTGAAGATCTCGAGCCTTAGTAGTTTGCAGAAGCAGGTTTGACAAGCTGCTCTCCCCAGAAAAAAAGAGCTCTCAGACCAATCAAAGGTGAAAACAGAAATGAACAAGTGCCTGTTAGGAAAATAAAAAACGGGATCCACTTGGTCTATGGTTAGCATTACTTCTTCTCATGGTGTTAAGTACTAGTTTTCCATGAATTCTTCCAGCATTTCTCTCAAACTTCCTTTTCTTAGACAAGTAGCCTCAATATGACCTTTGTGCAATATTTTACTGGGTCTAAATCGACAACCAATGAGTGCAACCCTCAAAAGTACAAAACTATGGGGGCGCCTGGGTGGTTCAGTTGGTTAAGCGTGTGACTCTTGATTTCGGCTCAGGTCGAGATCTCAGGGTCATGAGATCGAGCCCCACATCAGGCTCCACACTGGGAATGTAGCCTGCTTGGGATTCTCTTTCTCCCTTCGTCCCTCCCCTGCTCACTTGCATGCACTCTCTTTGTCTCTCTCCTCTCTTAAAAAAAAAAAAATACATACATACATATATAAATCAAAGTACAAAAACAATTAGTATGAGGTCCAGTGGGCAGATATGCTGATGGTGGAAAGTGAGTAGCTGTAACACACAATGCTTTTGCTTAAAATCGGAACACTAGGGATGCCTGGGTGGCTCAGTCAGTTGGGGGGCTGCCTTCAGCTCGGGTCATGAGCCTAGTGTCCTGGAATCGAGTCCCACATCGGGCTCCTTGCTCGGCAGGGAGCCTGCTTCTCCCTCTGCCTCTGCCTGCCTGTGTGTGCGCTCTCTCTCTCTCTCTCTGACAAATAAATAAAAATAAAATCTTTAAAAAAAAAATCAGAACACTAAACAACTCTCACTGTGGGAAACGACTCTTGGCGGCGTGGAATGGCAGACTGCTATCAATCTAGGTTGACAGAGTCCAAGTTATACTTAAGACCTCTCATCCAGATCTCAAATGCATGAATATGGAAAGTAACTGGAGGCTTCAAAACGAGTAACATTTACACTTTCCTAAACGAACTAACCATTCCAAATCCCTGCGCCCACACTTCCAATGCCTGAGATAAGAGTAGCCTCTGGCTGAGCAAATAGAGATCCCCAGCCGTGACACATCCCTGCGTTTCCCTTCACGCCAGGCAAATTCTCTGTTCCTGTTCAGGGAGACAACATTCCGTTGCATTGTCCTTCAGCATCCTCTGATAATGAATGAGCACGCTGTGTGGGTAGATCATTAAGGGTCCCCAGACCATAAAACGGAAACTGAAAGAAACCACCACAGTATCTTAATGCACGAGATGGAGAAGTGTCAGCTAAATGGGCCAACCATGATCTGCACCAAGACAAGTGACAAATCCCACATAATTCAAAGGCAAAATGATCATGAAATGAAGGATTTTCATCACTTGATTTGCTGTAGAAAAAGCCACAAGTGAGGGAACAAAGGACATCTTAAGTTACTCTCCAACATGGTGGGTCCAGGAAGAACCTCTTTGCTGGAGAGAACACACAGTGCTTGGACTCATCATTTCTTGTATTTCAGCACAGTAGGAGAGAAGCAACAGACAGGAAGCCACACTAGTAAGAAGAATGCTGCCAAACAATTACATCTAATTGAGGAAAATGTCTGGTGGACAGGAAAGAAAGAGGGAAGAGAAAAAAGAAGGTTGGTGTTCATGGATTTTTGGAATCTAGGACTCAAGAATGGGCCCACTAGCCTGCTTAGGAGATAGAGCAGAAATGAGGAAATGATCTGTTTCCATAACATATTGTATCCAGCTTACTGAACCAAAGCTGTCATGTTATTTGGTTCCATAGCCTCTTAACTAAAAATACAGAAATGTAATTGTTTTGGAAAACCATGCTGAGTCGCTAAAATGTTTCTGTATTGGGATTTTTGTGGATGTTATAAGAGAAAGATCTTGGTCAGAAAAGGATTGTTAAAATGTTGAGCCAAAAAAAAAAAGTACTTACCACCCAGATGACATTAGATGTTTTAATTCTACTGATTTCTATTTGAAAAACCATTTTGAATTCCTGATGATGATCAAGTTTGTGGACAGTCCATTGTAAATGCAAACACTGACATGTAGAATTGACGGAAACCTTCAGGGATTCAGGGTCCCATGGCAAAGGCTCAGACAAGACTGAAAGGTCAAAAATAAGATATGAAATAACATTTAATAGGAACACAGTTGAAGAGTCACAGATAATAAACTGGTCAGTATCACCACCGTCCAGTTTTGGAAAATAATGCTCTCAGGTGCCTCTTAGAATTAGCCATCTTGAAAGTCTGCAAGGGAATTTGGAAATCATTTGTAAATAAAGAAATTAAAGCCTAGATAAATGAAAGGCTATATAAAGAGGTATCTTGGCTATAAATTTCATATTCCTGGAAATAAAAAATGAGTTTTCTGTTTGAAAATCAGTACTTCATAGATTATTAAATAACACTGAAGTGGGAGCATACCCTATCTCTAGACATGATTGCTTAGATCTCAATGCACTACACTTAAAACACTGCTGGAAAGAATTTACTGAACTCTGTGGATAAGACCAGCAAGGCACTTGTGTGGAATAAAATAATTGTGATGATGTTCATAGCTCAAGGAAGGACCCCAGCTGGAGAGACACAGGCGCTCAGAATAAGTAAATCCATAGAAGAATATAGAAGACTGGTGATCGCTGGGGGCTGAGGACGGGAGCAGTTGAGAGTAAGTGCTCCATGATTACAGGGTCTCCTTTTGAGGTGATAAAAATGTTTTGGAACTACACAGAAGTGCCGGTTGCGTATTTTTGAATGTACCAAATGTCACTGATTTGTTCATTTTAACCGCAAAATGGTTAATTTTAAGTTATGTGAATTTCCCTTCAATAAAAGTTTTTTTTACATATACGTGATCATGATCAAAACGTTCAAATGATACAGAGATTGAGACCCTACCGTCCTACCAACTCCACTCTATTGCCATGTTTAAATCATATGCTTTTCTCGACCTTTCCCATACACTCAAAAACACATAAGACTGTGCATTCCATTTTATATTTTTTAAAGTGCTTAGGTTATTTTTCAGAAAGCTATAAAGAGAAGTAAAGCTATAATGCTACTACTCATTATTTTTGGATGACGAGGCAGAGTGATTTTACTTTTTTATGCTTTTTTTGTATTTTGTAAATGTTCTTTAGAAGCATGCGTTACTTTCAGACCCTGTAATACGCTAGATTTTACAAGAACTAGTCTTCTAAGACACCTAGTTCACTCCACTGTGATGATACTTCAGGATGCAGAATTTAGTCCTCTGGGTCAATCTGCGCCAAAAGGCTAGGCACCAGTCATTTTTCCAGTTTTACTTCCCACTGCAACTTAATGAATTGGCATTTTGAGTCTTTTTTTTTTTTTTTTTTGCATTCTGATTCTCAATGAGCTTTGGCAGAGTGAGTCATTTATCAGACTCCATACATACAAAGTTAAATGAAGTCAGCTGGAATTTCTGAACACTCGAAGCCCAAAACATGATGGCCACTTTCTATTATTATTTGGTTAGAGATTTTTTTTTCTCCTTTGTGAATAAAATTTCTCTTTAGTTAAAGCCAATAGCCATTATTCATCCTCTCCTTAAACCAGCCAGTTGGGTGAGTCTTCCAAGCCTAAGATGTAAGCTAAGTAAAAGGAGGTTTAGGGGGACAAAAGAGCAGATCCCTTAGGGAATAGGAGGAAATATTTTTAATAATTAATAATAACCAATAGCACGGAGAAGGCTGGATGTCTGCAAAATCATCCCAGCTCCCCTAGCCCTCATTCCATTTTGTCTGGGTAGTAATTTGTTGCTCTCAGTCTCACACTCTAGATGCAAACTTCCTGGAAGGCAGAGGCCAAAGCAGAGACATCTTTGAATGGACTCTTGTCCCCAGCATTCGGCACAACCTCTTCCCCACAGCGGATGTTGATCTCAAATCACAGGGACTCAGGATCTCCACAAGTTCTCAAGAGCACAACAAGCAACAGCTTGTCTCTCCTCATCCGTGGCATTCTCTTCTCCCCAGGGCTGCTTTTCTAAGCCCTTGTTTGAGCACTGATCACAGTGTGTCTCCCGGTGTCTCCCCAAGGACTGTGAGCTTGACAAGGGCGGGACTAAGTCTTACTCAGCTCAGTGAAACCAAGTCCAATCACACACCTGTCACAGTGTGGACACCCAGTGACTCCTTGCTAAAGGATGAGTCAACGACCAGTATCAACTTTACTTCTGGAGGCTCAAGAAAGCTACTGTGTGATGCTTTAGGTAAAAGAGGAACACTAGGGACGCCTGGGTGGCTCAATTGGTTAAGCAGCTGCCTTCGGCTCAGGTCATGATGCCAGCATCCTGGGATCGAGTCCCACATCGGGCTCCTTGCTCAGCAGGGAGCCTGCTTCTCCCTCTGCCTCTGCCTGATACTCTGTCTGCCTGTGCTCCCACGTGCTCTCTCTCTCTAACAAATAAATAAAATCTTTAAAAAAAAAAAAAGAGGAACACTATATTGACGTGAGCAATCTGTGAGTGCTGAGTGACTCAAGCAGTTGGGAGAGACATCAGTCAGAAATAATTCGGGTCAAAAGCAATTGAGGACTTCCTTGGGAAACAGTGGGAGATGTCAAGGTAAAGTCAGAGAGATTAAGGGACTGTGCAGACTCTTAAATCCAAACCCATTATTTTCCAATGAGGAAACTGAGTTTTAAAAAAAGGGAAGTGACTTCCCAAGAACACCCAACTAGACCCGAACCCAGGGTTCTTGGCCCTGAGCCCAGCTCTCTTTTTACAGTGAGGAGTGGGTGATCAGACAGCCCTGGGTTTAATCACAGACTCTTCTCCCACTTCTCTCAACCAGGCTCTTTGTCTGGCCCCGACACTACTAAAGAAAATAAACCATGGTTCATTTATAACTTGGGACATCACACAGCCATTAAACAGAATGTTATTGCTAAAAGAACATTTGAGATCAAAGCTAAAAAGCCTCATTGTATGTTGTATTGTTTTAAAAAGCATATACTGAAGTACACATACTAAAATATATATACTTTACCTGCATATATTTTTATATGTTACTTATATTTACATATTATAGTATAATTTCCCAGTATATATATTTACACTAGATACAACATACATACTTTATATAGAGTTTAAAAAGTCCATACATAGTATAAATATTCCCAGCATATATAGTGTAATTTCACTTCTACAAAAAAAAAATCTGCATTTTTACATCTCTGTCTTGGTCTATATGGTACTTACACAAGAGAATGGGAGAAAATAAACCAAATGCTATAGTCACGATCTCTGACTGAAGCAGATACGGGCCCAGCAACAAGTGGAAGTGAGTCTGGGCTCTGTCTCATGGGTTGGGAGAAGCTAGGACTTCAGAACTCAAGTCTCAGCTCTGAGCCTGGCTGGGCCATCACGTGGGAGGCCCACTCATCTGAGTGGATGTTTAGCAGGTACCTGGCAGAGGCGGCAAAAACTGAGATGAGAAACCCAAGTGGTGTTAGGACAAAGACAGGATTATGTGGCAAGGCAGGCATGCTTAGCGGAGAAAGCTGGACGCAGAAACAAAGACTGGTGGAGAGAGACATGGGTAATGAACGTCTGTTGTAAATGAAAGAAGCAGAAAAGGTCCATTCTTCCCTGGAATTTCTTCTGAGAACAGTGCCTTGCACGTAGAAGGTACCTAGACAGTCGTCATTGGATCAGATAATGAGACTTCACTAGGGAAGGGAACTGGGCCAAAAATTTGGGATTAAATGCGTAGGACTTTCTGGAGAGCCTGCAACCGGGGGCATGGGTCTGTCTGAGAATCAGAGGCTCTAGCTGGACCCAACCTTCCTATGGTATGGACCACCCCCTCAGCCCGGCTGTTCACATTTAGCAAGTAAGATAGATAGGGTGAGAATGAGAAGTCCTAATTCCCAACTTTCAGCTCCAGATTATGGAAGGTTATCAATAAGCTATGAATTTTAAAAAGCCAAAAAAGCAGCAGCATCTCATGTGCCCTGAACCTGAAAGATAGAGACCCAGACTTGCAGAACACCCGGCAGAGAACTGAGCTCTTATCAGAACAAAATCTTTTTCTTTCCAAATATCTTCTCACAGAGTGTTAGGGAAAATAGAAACCTTCTGTGGGTGTTTCCTGGAAACATCACTTCAGGAATCCATGGAGGGGGCTGTGTGAATAATTACAAGGCCGTACATCTGTGCTCTCTGTTACAAAGGGAGGACAGCAAAGAGTAAACACAGGATGAGGAAAGCGCAAAGCTTTGTTAAACACAGGCAACAGACTCGAGCCTGAGTACCTTCCCCCTGGTTCAAAGTACTAGCCAAAGTCATTATGAACATTTTACAAGTGCCCTTATTGACACTATTCACAAAGTTGGTTTATTGAAAAATACCCTCACTGGGAGAGTAGCTAAGTGAAAAATGCTGTTTCTTTTTCCCATAAACAGCATTTCAGTACTTAGCATATTATCTTGCGGCAAATAGTTTCTCAATGAATGTCACTCAAGGACATCGCAACTTGTTCTAAGCCAGTGGCCTGCACTGGTCTGGTTGAACCTCAGCCCCACAGGACAAGGCAACTCCTTTGGAGATGTCACTTACAGTGTATCTACCACGAGTTCTGTGGGATTAGATCCACTCACAAGTGCCCGGATGACCAGAGCACTGGCTAGGAAATGAGGGCTAAGGTGTGGCTTTATTACCATGAGCTATCAAGAAATCCAAACTAAGGAAACCATTGCTACTCACCAGTTCCAAGTAATTCCCAAAGAAAAGACCTGTGCAACTTTCCTCCAAAGTACCAGTTACCTTGTTCTTTTTCTCTGCGTTTTTTTTTTTTTTTTCTTTACTGTTCTTCCCACTACTCACCTTCACTCTGGTAAGTCCTCAAGGACAGCAATGCCAAGAGGAATGCTGTCTGAGAGACTGAAGAGAGAGCCATAGGTTCTGGATTTCTGAAAAAGATAAATTACAGGAGAAAAATTTCATTTAATTTTGGCTCTGAGTAGGTGTCTTTGACCTCATTGTGGTAGATGATGGTATTAAAGGTTCCCATTCTTCTCTCCTTTCATCCATCCATGCCTCTTGTCATGAGAGTTTGGAGTACCCCCTGCCTTCCAAAGTAAGAGTTTATTTCCCTGCTCCAGGTGACTTGCGGAGGCCGAAGCCATGGTGAGCCTCAAAACCCCTGTGTCATTCTGCTTGCTTTTCTGTGCTTCCACCTTTGGCAAGAAAAGAGCCCTTCTGGGCTACCCTCTTGGACCCAGGAGGAGGAGGAGCAATGGGGGGGGCACTGAGTCATCATGGCTGCCCCCCATCCTCACCGGCATCAGCCCAGGTCAGCCAGCCGCTGGCCAAGAGTGACTGGTCCCAGATGCGGGAGCCAGGAATGCTCACTGCCGCGTGCCACGGAGGCCGTGTGGCAAGAGAGAAGTGGCCTACCAATTTCTTCAAACCCAGAGAAGGCTCGTGAAGAAAGGTAAAACAAAGAAACAGAAGTGAAACGTAAAAAAGTGGACCATGGTCTCAGAAGAGCTATATCTGAGTGAGCTACTTAGAGAGGAGTCATCTTCACTCTTCCTTGTCTCCCTTGTTACAATTTCACCAAAGAAAACCCAGCACATTCCACCTGAAGAGATGTTTCATTGTGTTTCATTGTTCAAGATAATTTCCGGTTTTCCTCGCTTTAGAGGAGGGTTGTAAAGGGAAGGTCAAAGAGCTTCACTGATTCATCGGGTCCTCTGACCACAGGACAAGCTGAGGGCACAGAGAGTGAACACTGATGACCTCAAGGAGGCTAATTTGTTCTTAATTTAATAGTAATAGTGTTAGTCAAGGGAAGCCCTGAGTTTCACTTTTCTACTTCAAAGCCTGACTCACCCCACTGACGGGCAACGAAACCGTTCAGAGTCCCCTTCACCTCGGTCTAGCCACGCAGACTTCATCAAATCCAGAAACTCAGCGAACCAGACCATTCCCTTTCACTGCCCACCACTAAATAGGAACAACAGTGACAACAGAAAAAGAATACAGCCAGCCCTTAAATTATTCTAGGGTAGTCACATCCGCTTACAGACGGACCCAATCCCCAGCAGAAAGTCTGCGAACAACAGCTTTTCCTCATAGTCCTTTAGGCCTATTCTCTGCTACTTCTAGTTTTGGCAAACAGGTCACTCACGCCTCTCTAAAATCTCTACTTACCACGTCAGAGAGGCTCCTATTACAACTAAATATCAAAGCCAGGGAGAAAAGGAATTCAAGAGGAAGTTGTTTCTGCTCAGCACTGAAGGAAAATGCCAGCATGAAGTGTGTGACACTCTGCGCGCAACAGACCCATCCTTCCAGTCCTAGTCCATGGGCGCAGGAGCCTATCCTAAGGCCGGCCTACCCTGAGGAGCGCAAGGTGCCTCTCTCTGTGAGGAAATCTCATCCCGTACATTGAAAACCAGGCGATTCTGGGAGTGATGTAGGTTGCTTTGTGTTCTCTGTAGGAAAGGGCTACTTAAAATGTTTCTTTTTATTTTCAAATTTTGGAGTTCTGATGAATCAAATATCTCACATGTCACAGAATTTAAACAAATTTGTGTTTAACAGAGAAACTTAAGACAGAGAAACTTGAAATGGCAAGTTAGTAGCCACCTATGAATTAAGGGTAATCAGAAATTAAAGAATAAAAGTGGTCATGTAACAAAACCGAAAACTAGGAGTCTTTACAAAGGACTTGTATCTACGGTCTGGGGATCACAGGAATATTGACTTCCAGACGAGACTTCTTGGACTCTTGAGAAGCGTGGGGACAGTCTCGTCTGCAAGTCCCGCCCTTCCCCACCTCCTCCCACGCGGCAGGTTGTGAACCTGAGGAGGTTAGCTTCAGAATGAGAGTCGGCCACTGGAAGAACATTCCGGAGACATGCATGTCAGCCGTTGGGAAATGCTGCATGAACAGTTCTCCCGAAGCGCCAGAGCCTCATGCTGCGGGAAGAACACGGCCACTGAGGACCCCGAGCCAGCTGCTTCCAAGCCCCAGGAGACTGACCGCACGGCCCACAAGGACTCCCTCCTCCCCTCCCCCGTAAATCTGCCTCTAGTTACCCTGTGCCCTATTCGGAGGGTACCAGCTGTTTGTTTGCTGGTGAGCTCCCCGCTAGCATGGCGACAGATCTGGGGGCGAGGGAGCGAGTTGTGCTGGGCTTATTCAAGGAACCACAGGAGCCGGTGTTGCAGGGGGCAAGGAGGTGAGAGGCAGGAGGTGCAGAGGGCCCCGGATGGAGAGAAGCCCGGGAAACATTTCTCCAGCTGTGGCTTCTACCCTGAGCCAGGTGGGAGCCACCGGGGGCTCTGGGAAAGGCGTAAATGGCCACTGACAGGAGTAGTGGGAGGGACGGCAGCTAGGAGGTTATGCAATAGGCTGGGACAATGGTGCGGGCTCAGGCTGGGATGAAGGCATTGGAAGTGGGTACAGTGGTGGGATTTGGGAGAGACTTGACAAAGCAGGCAGGACGTGCCGGGGGTGACAGACGAAGACATCAGGGACAGCCCCCTTAATGGCCAGAGCCCTTGGCAGAACGGAAATTACCGTTCACAGAGGTAGAAGCACAGATGTCATGGGCTCTAGCAAGGGCTCTGGTGGCAGCATGCTCAATTTGAGTTGCTGATTTGATGTCCAAGGGAGCGAGTTAGCCGGACAACCACTTTGGAATCCCTGGGAGGGGACCTGGCAGGGGGCTCAGTCATCCTGGGTGTATACAGACGGTCTTTAAACCGCGGGGGCTGGATGATGGCCTGGAGAGGCAGCGCACATAGAAAAGAGAGGTCTGCCTCGGGCAGGAGAAGGCCACCGTGCCCTCTCCTTCTCTCGTCAGGCCCTCCCTCCCCACACAACTGTCTGCGAGGAGCATGGCTACTACTGCGTCGTAGGAAAAGGAAGTCAGGGAAGGATGAAGGGGCAGCATTCAGAAAGGCAAAACCCACATTCCCGCCTCACCCACACTGCGCTCAACCTGGTTCTTTATTTCTATTTTTCAGATCCCCGCCATTCCCAACCAGACTGAGCTGCTTGAGGACAGGCCTGGGTCTCAGTCCCCATTGTCCATCATAGTCCCAGGCCACAGCTGTTCCCCAGGAAATATCTTGTGAATGAATAAATATCTGTAGCGATGTTCTCACAGTTGTTCTTCTTTGCTTTCAATTTTATTTTAGTAAACAGATTTCTTTTCAGGCCCTTCCACTTTTTCTAGTGCCAAATATTGCCTAATTCATAGTCTTTCATTGACATGTCTTCTCTGGGGAGGAAAAGGGAGAGCAAAGAAAAATTACCCACTCATTGTGCAGAACTTCCCATTCAAATCTCATCTCTGGGCAAAAAGAAGCCACCTTCGACTGTCCCCCAGGACAAACTCTACCTGTGCAACGAAACACAACTTATGCCAGGGGTAGAAGCCTGCCCTTCTTCGCTAGCATTTTTTTCCGTCATTACTAAAATATTTATTCCTGGGAAGTTTCCTCACCGTAAATAACTCCTTGAGAAGCAACATGACCAGTCATTTGCTTCCCAAGAACATGGGTGTGTTGCCAAAGACAGCGGAATTGGCCGGGTGCCTCCTGACGTCATATGCAAATCCCAGTTTCAAGAAAGAAGCTGTTCATCTGGGACGTGTGCTGGGTGTGTGCTCCCTGTTAGAGAGTTCTGTGTGGCAGTATGAAGGGCTGGCGGCATGGTCTCCACATTTCCCAGATCCATCTATCTTTACTTCTTTCATATTGGGGACCCCCTCCAAGGGGCACTGCCATTATAGCATGGGGCAGATCACCTGTAAGCCTTCCCCTCAACCCTCCTTCCACCCTCTTCCTCCTAAAGAAAGGTTCAAGCACACCTTCCCCTCTGTCTAAACCTACCTGGCTAAGTGTTTCTAGCAGTTTAGTGAGGTCATCCCTTATTTAGGAGACTGAACTGGCTTATGCACGGCTGATTTTCTTTTTCTTAAGCCGTATTCAGGTGAGGATTCCTGGGCCTTGGGACTCCAGCTAGCATTCAAGCTGAGTCCCCAGATGGTCAGGGAAACCAAAGAAAGGAAGAGAAAACCTCGATCCAAGGAATATTCCGGACCCAAAGAATACGTAGGGATTTAGCATATGCTAACGACAGTCTTTTAAATCACTAAAGAAGAGACAGATTTCTCCCCCCACGTTGTACTGGAACAATAACCTGGACATTTGTGGGTAAAGGAGGTAGTAACAGTCCAGTACACGGACTCAGATGTGAAGACTGCTGACGGTCAGATCACTGCTCGGACACTTAGGAATCGTCTCACCAGAGACAAGGTACTTTATCCGTTTAAGCTTCAGTTTCTTTTCCTGTAAAATGAGGATAAAGAACCTACCTCATAGGATTGGCATGAGGATTACATGAGATTATGAGAACCTATATACAGAAAATCCAATTATTGTTTTTTTATTTTTTTGAACACTTTTTTTTTTTAAAGATTTTATTTATTTATTTGTCAGAGAGAGAGAAAGGAATACTTTAAAGAATGCTGAGCAGGGAGCCCAATGCAGGACTCGATCCCAGAACCCTGGGATCATGACCTGAGCCAAAGGTCATGTATAATCCGTTTTAGCATGATATGAATCCTAGAAGCAATAAAGATTGTACAACGATTAAATAAACATTGCAAAAAATTTTAGTGCTACAGTCAGGCCCAATAAGAAACTGGGAACAATAGTTTCAATACTGATGGCAAAGGGTTACTGTCCCCTACAATACCAAGAGATCTTAGAAATTAGAAATCAATCAAAAACATACAAGCAACCCTGTAGAAAACCCGGCAGATGATATGAATATGTAATTCACAAGAAAGGAAATGCCAATAACCAAAAGGGAATAAGGAAAAACTAGACAATATCACTAGTAATTATATGAATGCAAATTATAATAGTAGTTGTATGTCTGTGTGTG